CCCTGCAAAAAAACGAACGCATGACACATGTCAACGCTCCTTTGCACAAGGAGAACATACTCATCGGGTCTAAGTTCTCAAGGGGTCCGGCCAAACATACTCCAACAAACAACTACCTGTATACTCTAGGTGGTCAGAATTATAGTCGCGTTTTCAATCTCAGTGTTTTGTGTCGATTCATGAAAACAAATCGATTCACACAAAAAACGTTTCGAGCTGGCCTACACGCAGCCATTGGGATATCAAATACCGGGTATGTTTTTTTGCAAAGGACGTGTACCGTCCCCTAGGCCCAACAGTTTATCACGTCATGATCTCAACCTAACATGAAAACTGTGTTGTAAGCAACCCGGCTCCTCGATGACTGCACCTCCGTAAGGAATCGCCCTCCTATCGTCGTCTCTGAAATGAGACAAAAAACTAAGGGCATCAGCCGAGATGGTCACATGCCGCCCCCCTGTCAGCCCCAGGGTCCAGTGAGATGTTGATGTTGCGAACATTTTTGTTCAACGTTTGACCGAATCCAAAATCATCATCCAAATATTCCATTTGGTTTGGGTGGAAGATGTTACTGTAGAAGTGTGTAGATCCTTGCCCCAAAAAAATAAAATAGCGGTGTAGACGCAAGTCTGATGTGCCAAAGCCGGTCATTGTGAAGGGGTGGGGTCAAACATGGACGGCCCCTGCCTGCCCCCACCCCAACCCAAGAAACTGTATTTCTAATGCGTAATAATGCACTTAATGAGAAAACATATATATATATAATCTGTAGTAGTGTAGTAGTGTGTTTCAAACAATCTTAATTTATGTTTCACTTATGCCCAACAATTTCAAATTAATTATATATTTGGTCAGGTCAGGGTCAGGTCGCACACCTCTCCATCATCCTAAATTTGATGTGTCACTTATGTCTTGGGGTGCCACCGGTAAGTCGTTGACTACAGCTGCCGCTGTTGCAGCAGTTGCCAGGAGCTACAGTACACACGGGATCACACGGAAACGAGTCACACATGAAGCACATATCATAGATAGGGTCTGTTGCAAGAGATTTTGTACCCCCCCTGGGACCAGTGTCCTGATCCTCACATCGAGAGCCTAGGAGAGTCCCAAAAGGAAACAGCTAATCTTCATTCCGGAAACTCTGGGTCCCATATCCGGAAACAACTCCCAGACTTTACAGAAAAGGACGTCATACGGGTGTGTGTTTTCCAGTGTTCTCGAAAACGCTTGTTTTAGGACTTTGCATGTTGAAGGTGTTCAGACGTTGCGGACGAAACCTCGTAGTTGCTCGTAGTAGAAGCTCTTGTCTGCTCGTGAGTAGTAGTCTTCCTAGTTCACCGGATCTTGGGGGTTTCGGTTTTTTGGTGGTATCGTCTTTTTTTAGGCCGACCCCCCCGAGGTACTACCTGTGGGGCATCAAGCTCACAGGTCACAGGGTGAATGGCATGAAGCTCCCACAGCTTCCCGGGGCGAATGGTCATTACCAGTACTGTGGCCCGGTAGAACTAAGTAGCATTACCCTTGCTATTGGCATCAGCATTAGCATTACCATTGGCATGCCCAGTGCTATTAGCCTTATCATTAGCATCAAGCCCTCACAGAAGAAGAGTGTATGGCATTACCATCACAATTGTCATCAGCGTTGCCATTGCCATTAGCATAACCATTACTACAGGTCACAGAGTGTATGGCCTCAACCTCCCACAGGTCACAAGGTTATTAGCATAAAGGTCCCACACCTCACCAGGTGAATGGCATTGCCCCCACCATTGCCATTTGCATTGCCATCACCATTTACATTACCATTGCAACAGGAAGTGGCATTGCCATTGTGATCCCCATTGCCACAGGTCAAGGGTGAACGGCATCAAGCTCCCACTCTCACAGGTCACAAGGTGCTTACCTCCCACAGGTCAAGGGCAAATGGCATTCCATAACCATTGTCATGAGCATTACCATTGCCATTGGCATTGCCACACGGCAAGGGTGAATGGCTATTACCGGTACCATTAGCATTGCCATTCCCATTCCCAGTGCCATGAGCATTAGCATCAAGCCCCCACAGGTCACAGCATTACCATGTTCATTACCGCAGATCACGGGGTGCATGGCATCAAGCTCCTACAGGTCGGTGAATGGCATTACCACCACCATTGCCATTAGCATTATCATCACCATCTGCATTACCATTGCCACAACTCAAGGGTGAATGGCATCAAGCTACCACAGGTCAACGGTGAATGGTTGTAACAAAAGAAGGCTCCAAACTTCTGTGGGAAGCATCCAGGACAGATTACAATACCATACCCAATGCTAGACCTATTGCAACTTGAAACAGTCCAAAAACATTTAAAAAAAAAGGAACAAAACACTGGAAAACACACACCCGCATAGCGTCCCGCTCTCGAACTTTAGGTCCCCTTGTTGCCCTACAGCCGACCAAACGAGAACATGATCAAATGACCAGGTTGTCATCTCAGGTTGTCTGGGTACCTCTGGTGGGGCAGCAGTTCTGCTCCATCTCTCGGAGCTCTCACGCCCAAACGCCAAAACTTGAGACGCTTGCTAAGCCAACCTCGAGCGGCTCTGCGGCTCTGCATGCTCAGAACTGGAGTTCATTGGGGGTGTACCAAAGAGGAGTCTAGGAGTCTCGAGTGCCTAGAGTAAAGAACACATGCCAAAAAGGACTCCGCCGGATTTAGCGCCGAAGTGCCCCCCTTCCCTTCAGGTTTCGAGGGTGAGATACGGGTATCATCGGGTATCACCGAAAGTGAATTCCAGTCTCATGCCAACAGTCCATCAATGGAAAGTGTGCAAGTGAAAGCGCAACTGGTTCTCATCTGGTTCTTTTCCCTCAGAGCCCAATTTACATATAATAACCAAATGACAAATTCAAACATATTATGTATCCGAAGAAATGTATGTTGAAAGTGTGATGTTGTATGTGTATGTTCGGAAAGATTCAACAAAACACATTCATTTCTTCAGGCAAATGACATCAGCCTATATACATGTTCCGGAATGTCTCTGCATCTCCTCCATGACATGACAGTCTCATGCCCTAAACCCTAAACCCTAAAGCTATGTCGAAAGGGGTAAATGTGTGATCTTCGGAAAGTGCCCTCCACTCCAACGCATGTGCTCTCGTTTGTTGCCACAGCCCCACAGCTTGAAGGTCACATCCATGAACCCTCTGACCCTCTGCCTGGTCTGACCTATAGGTAGCGAAAAGTGAGTTCACAGCGCCACAGCTCCTTTTTCATGTGGCATAGCATACACTGGTTTGAGGCGCCTGTCAGCCTGAAATGGCCAGCCAAAACATATCTCGCCTGGGCGTGTCGAGCGCGTTGACGCGTTGCCGCGTTGCCTTGAATTACCCTCAGCCAGATGTGTCGAGTCCATCCGCCGCTGAAGACAGCCGGGCTCCCTTTGTCCTTTTCCCGGCCATCTCCAGTCAGCAACCCCCGAAGTCGGGGCTGTAGGGCAACTTTGAACACCCCCAGGTACGCCAAGTGGATGCAACATTTCGTGGTGACTCACCACAAACCCCTATCAAGTCAGAATTCCTGACTGTGCACACCAACGTATCGCTTTAGACATCGGACTGAAAGACTCGTTATCCTGCTTTTTTTGCGCAGCTCAAAGCCTTCAAAGCATTGAGGAATTACACCTGGGACCACAATTACGTCTTCAAGTGGAGAAGCAAGTGCCATACCTAGCCTGGACAGCATTGAAACACTTTTGAAGCATGTCGACAAGTGTTTCCCTAGCAATTCATTAACAGGAGCAATATGCTCGGACGGCTGAAGGAAGAGCCTCACATAGCCTCACCACCTGAGTTGCAGTAATTTTGGGAGTCTGAGTCTCATTTCTGCTGAGATCAACACATATCAAGACTAGACTATATTTTAGTAAAGTACCTAGTTTCCTTTGACCTGAACATGTGATTGTACAAACCCTGAGAACTAGAACAAAACTGGAGATTCCTCGATGGGGGGATACCGACAAATACAACATGCCTGTGCCACGTAAAAAAAAGGACCTCAGGACCTGCAGGTTTGGTCATGCTTAGCGATGGCCTCCAACCTAATAGCGATGGCCTTGTTTGAGTGTTGTTTACCTTGGTTTTCATGGCACCGCATGTATGAGCTATAGTCTATGGTCCCATAAGCATCCATAGTCGGATGGCTTGTTTGCTTACCCGGTGGCTTGGTGGCGGACGTTCTTCCCACATGCAGGCGGCATGACGTGAGGAGACACTGAACAACAAATGTATCCCTGCCCTACGGACTCCCCGTCTTTTTTTTCTTTTTTTCGGACTCGACGGTTCGGAGTCGTCTGTCGTGACCCTATCCTTCGCTGTACTGCGAATGACTGCAGCGTATGCAGAGTCAAAGAACGACGATGAATTATCAAATGCCAGTGGCGCTGGAATTGGTTTTAGGCCCTAGGGGCCCTGGAGGGACCTCCTTGCTTCAACAATTTTGAGCCATGCCATGAATGCCATTTTTTGGCAAAACAGTCCAAAGCTCGATTCTCTACAACCTCCTACATTGCGAAAAAGTGTTCAAGGTGTCCCAAGAGCATGGCAGAAATGCAAAAGCGGACCACTTAAAGCGAGTTCAGCTTACTCCGCGCCACAAGAGGGACTGGACTCCTGAGAGTCGTCTCACATGACCCTATTCTATGCTGTACTGCGCGTGCTGTACTGCGAATGACTGCAGCGTTTGCAGCGTCAAAACGACGATGAATTGGCAAAGCCGGTGGCGTTCAAAGTTCACACGCTGGAAGGACTTCCGTTCATCGATGACTCAAATAGAGCACCCATCCAACAGAATCGAGTTGCTGAGTAATGACACGGTGTCTATTCTCCACATAGCCCATCCTATTTGATCAATCATTCTGTGTCGGAATGATGTCCCCAGAAAAAATGCGAACATGGACCAATTAAACGGGCCAACCTCCGGATTTAATTCAGCAACCTTGGAGGTTCGCGAGGTTCACAGCTGCAAATGGTACCTCGGTTGCATGAGGTGCGTGAACATGAGGTGCCACGGTTGACCAAGCAGGGGATGCCGTTGATCGGTGCGGAGGATTAACGATTCGTCATCGAAAAGCGACCGGACGCGACGGTGGGATCCGGATTTCAGTGGGCCGGTGGGTGGGGAACACTCCGCCAAACAGTCCAAACGCCATGGGTACCTGAAAGTGTTGCGATATCTGGAAGAACGGCCAAGGACTAGAACCAAATGATTGTTGAATACTGAACGATGGTACATAGCTGAGATTCTATGAAGAACTGGTTGCTGCAGTTGTTGCAGCATTCTGCTGCTTCTTGCGTCCTGGCGCTGTTGGTTTCTCCTGCATCTAAACGACCTTTACACACACTGTGGCACTGGGATGGACTGGTGCTCAATGGTGCCCTTTGTCTGGACCCAAGCATGTTGTTCGACCCAAATGATGGAGCCGAGGCGACCGTCTGGTCTGGCTCTGCTCGCTATAGCGACCAACGATGACCAACGAGTCAGAACGGGGGAACGGTTGTTGGACCGCTTCGGGACATATCCTATTTGGGTGCCACCGATGAACAAAACGATGCGCCACCCGGAGTGAGGTTTTCCACACCAGGTAACATGTTGCCAACGATGATAATCTCCAAGAAACATGGATCTGGCATAAGCCTATCGCAGTTTTGGGCGGGGACCATTTCTCAACCCAACAACAGCATTTGCACAGGTTTTTTGCCTGATTTTTTGCTACCCCCCAAAAAACAACGCTGTAAGGATCTCTCTGGCCATGACTCGATTTGACATCCCTATGATCTTTTGGGCGCATTGTTGCGTTAGTCTGTCAATAGAAACATGCAGGGTTTGCTTCAACTTTGACTGGACAATTAAGATCAATGGCCATTCTACTTCATTTGTTGGACCATGTTCTGTGGACATTCGGGAAGCCTTCGGAAGCCTTGGCAAGCCTCAGGCTCTGCGAGTCGATGCTGTAAGCTTCGATCGATCCCCCCGGAACCCGACGCGGCGGAGGCACAAGTCGGGCACCGGGTTGATACCGCGCTTGAAGCAATAACCTTGGGGTGCTTCCGCTTGGGTCGGGTGGAAATCAGCTTCGATTGATCCAGCTCCGAAAATGGTGTCGGGCATGTCGTTGTTCGGTCCACCATCAGCCATGAGGAGACCAGTGATGCGGATCAAATTTCATCAAGAATGATCAAACTCACCGACTCCCCACAGTCGCACCCATGATTCCGGATGGCGCATGTATTCGTGATGTATGAACATGAGAGGGAACATGAACAAGTAATTAACAAGTACATCATACATTTGGGGAAGTCCACAGGAAAGGTTATTTCCAGATTGCCAGCTTCCTACACTGCAGACTTTGCAGCCGTCTCTTTAAGGCCAAGAAACAACAGAGATGTCAATGCTAGAATGGACCCCATCCAACTACTGGATCCAACGAAGCTACCAATGGGTCGGTGAAAAACTCGCAGAACAATCTTCTGAGGCCTGGACGAGAGAAGTGGTTGCCTGAGCTATTGAATTCAACATGCGGCACCGGTATCGAAAACACGATGCGCTAAGCTATACTTCCGGCTCAAACGATCACAATCTTCCATTGAGCCTTCGAACTGAGTTTCTCTCATGGAAAAGTGAGACCTCTGCGCAAGAGAAGAAGGTCCTCAAGGGCCATCCCATGTGGAGTGTAAATCCTCTTCATGAATCAGGGGGGGTGTTGCTGTAATCAAGAGTCTACGTGACATTTCACTCCAAGTCCCACCGAGAGGCTGAGATCTTCCAAGAGGATGTTCAGCTGGCGGATTCCTATGGAATCCAAGATGAGCGCACTGAGGACACATGACATTTATCGAGTTTGTAACTTTTTGTTGCCGTCTCCGTCTCCAATCGATCTTTTACGAAATCTGCGAGATGCTGCATGTTATGACATAACTGATCGTGGAACTTCCGGGGAGACGAAGCGACGTACGATTGTTGAAACACCGAAAAACAGCTGGTCTATGCTGGTCCTTTTTCGTGCAGCTGCGTTTTCCGAAACGACCGTGGCATGCAAACAGCATGCAAAGCGAAAGGGGTCAATTTGCCTCGCCCAGCCGTGTACACCAAGAAAACGCCAGAGGCACCCGGAGCGATCCGCGAGATGTTTTTTGTCAAAAAGAGGACCGCATATGACCGCATGTAAAATGCATAGTATGGCTGTGTGTCATGTCCAGCCCAAGAAGCAGCAAATGAAAACTTAATAGATGACACGACTAACACGACGATCTTCAAGAGTTTCGAGGTCAGGCCCACCTGGCAAGGATCAAGAATTCCTCACACCCTGCCGCAAGATTTGGCCCGCCATACAACACGCCAGGCTCTCAACTTGACAGGATTCTCGGTGGCTCATGGTGGCTCATGGTTTCTCCCCTCCAAGCCCTGGCTTCCGTGCATGTCTTCGCCTTTGAAGCCCTTGACCCACATGACCCAGTCAGAACACACCTGGAGCTTCACCGATCATCTCCCACGTGAGCTTCACCGCCCCTTCGTCCGATCGGTCAATCGTGGCTCCTTCATTCAAGTTCTCCTGGTCATAGCAGGAGAGGGTCACTTCCACCAAAGACGACTCCTCTGAGCGGCCTGGGCAACTAGGCTGGTGCCCGAGAGCGAAGCGTGGAGAGATCATGTGTATTTTCTGTTCACCATTTCTTGCAAGCCATTCTTGTGTAAGAGTGAACATCTAAATACCATTTGGACATGAAGAGCCAATTTGACTTTTGGGGCTACCTGAGAGTGGCAAACCATCAAGTTCAACTCACTGTGTGGTGTATTTTTGCAGGAACGAATTGGCTGAGATAAGCTTGATCTAAGGAAGTCACAAGCCTGATTGCTGAGGTCTGATTCTCGAAGCTAAGATTGTTTTGCATCGCTGTCAGCCCTCTCTGGAAGGGCCAATCCCGGATGATAAAATATATATCCCAAGTAATCTGCAGCTGGCGTGGTGGCATGACCATTTGGGATAGGAGAGCGTGCTGTTGGAAGCTGGGATCACATTGTACCGATGCTAAAGGCTTTTTACAGAATCTCCAACATATCTTTGTCCAGATTGAGGTTCCCCTTGCACGTAACTCAATCCCTACAATCACAAAGCATCGAACGCCACAAACCAGGGGTTAAGTGAAACTGGTCGAGGACATGGCTTACCAGGCAAAAAAGCCAGCTGTACAGGACTGCTGGGACATCAATATTTCTGGAGACGCCTACCTATATAACTTGCCCGGAGCCCTAAAGTCCTCAAATATGCTTAGTCATGCAATTGCTGGGTTCCCTGGTTTTGCTGTTCTATTCTCGTTATGCTTTTTGTCTTCTCTTGAACCGCCCAGAATTCAACAACGGCCTGTCTAAGTCTATTCCCAAATAGATTCCCAAACCCTTTTCACTCAAATCCCACCACGTGTTGTTTCATATAATATTTGTTGTATATGTGTTATCTGTTGGTTTCTTGTTCAATGTATTTATTGTTTTTATTTCTTAATCCACGTCTCTTTTCTCCTCAGAAGGTAGCGATGGATCCAAATTGAAATACTGTAGCTAAAGTAACAAAGTGGTGCAGTTCACCTGGCACTTGTGATTTCAAAACTGCAGGCCCAACCATTAGGCCAATCAAAAAACACCAACGAAACACGCGGCCACCAAAAAACGTGATGGGCACAATCCCGCAAGCATCCACTGCGTCCGACGCATCCGCAGAAGCCAACGGTCGACTGCGGAAGCCAAGAGGCTTGCTTGCCAAGATTTCGATGACTGAGAACCATCCCATCCAGTCACACGGATTTTCCCTGGTCAGACGGCTCGGTGAGACGTGTGGCAGAAAGCGGGCTGTTCTAAGAGGAACAGCACGAGAAGGCCACATAGACAGAAATAATCCAAAATATGTGGTTGATGACACTGTTTGACCTGATGTTTCATTTCGGTGGGAAAGTTGCATACCTCATCTGGGTTCTTCCCCACTGCGAAAAACACACCCTGTGATTGGGATCGAGTCATTTGGATCGTTGTTTATTGTTTAGGATTTGTTTAGATGTGAATCTAGCTTTTCACGACCCAACCTCAGACCGCTGTGCTGCTACGAATACTGTCAGCTGGCCCGGCATGGTCACATACAAACAACGGAACAATTTGGACTTTGGTTTGGCCTTCACGTCTTCCTCCTCAGGTTTGATTCTTGATTTGTTAAAGTTTTGGTCTCGGATTTCAGTGAAGGCCCTGGTCACAGCCCCGTCTCACATCCCCTTCATGCCGACAGGCATCAGTGTTTGATATTGGTCACAGCCCCGTCTCACAGCCCCTTCATGCCGACAGGCATCAGTGTTTGATATTTATTTGGCTGAATGTTCTGGCTGAAGCAAAAAAACAGCGTGCCCTCTTTGTCACAAACGCCTAGCCAAACGCCAAGTGGAACAGATTACAAATGGATACATTTGTGTTTGTCGATGAATTCATGTCTTATTCAAAGTTCCTTAATGGTGACGTGTTCAGAACAAATATCACAGAAAAAACGCTGGTCACAGTTTGTAGCCCATGCATGCATTCATTGAGTGGGTCGTGTCAACTGATTTACGTGCCTGCAACTCCTGTCGCCCGATGTCAGTGTCTTTGCAGGAGTGCGGTACACGTGCGTGCATTCTGTTTGACAAATCCATTGTCTGCCAAGGCAACTTAGTGAAAGCTCAGTGGCAACTTCAGGTACCGGCCCAAGTCATAATGCCCCTGCGTTTGTGGATGTGGGAATATGTGGGAATGCATATTGGCTGAAGGATGAGCTCCTTACCCCAGCACTGAGGTTGAGGATCAGCTGCCGTGTCGTGCATGATCGACCACGGGTCACCCATGGAGTTCTCCACGTGCCACCGTCTCGATGCACCGTCCATCGGATGTTTCGAACGCGAAACCTCCGGAGGCCTTGAGACCAATGCTGAAGACGGATCAATCAGGGGCGGCACACTGCTAGAACCACACCGCTGTCACCAGGGCGGTAACGCTTCCAGCAAGGGCGGTAACGCCATGTAACGCTGAACCCACCTCCTTTCCTTGCCCTCCGGTGTTTTTCCTTCGGTTGTCCTCCATTGTTCGGGGTCTTGCCCTTCTGTGTTCACACGGTTTGCACAGTTGCTTTTCCTGGGTCTGGTCTCTTGTGCTCTCTTGTGTTGCTAGCACCTTGCTGTCGTTCCAAAATGTTCCAAAGCTCTATTGTGTAGCTTGGTGGGGGGGGGCCGATGACATGAACCAAATTACACTACTACAGTATCTGCCATCCACAAAACACGAGTCTGGGGTCTTTCCCCCTAGACCTAGGACCAGCACCGCTTCTTTGGATGGGGGCTTCTTCCCGCTCGACGGAACCAAACCGCACGCCACACGCTCCTGCCTCGGCAAGATTGGGAGATCGGGCGCAGGTTGCATCCTGAGCTGATGACAGTCACGTGTCACGTGCTGATGACGATACGCGCTGCGCTGCGTCGGTGCGTGACACGTCGTTTACGGCTGCGAGTGGCAAGCAGTCTACAGCTGCGGCATGTAAAGGGGCAATCTGTGAGTGGCAACTGACAAATAAGCAGGAGTTCCAAACAAATGTCCTCCCTGGAGCGACCAACCCCGCTCTAAAACAATTTGCGGAGCTGTCATCACACCATCACACCTGGAAGATTTGAGCTGAGGGATGTTTCTTGCCCAGTAGCCTAGCTAACTTGCCCCCCAACAATTCAGGAACCAAACCATTGCAGTCTTTATAGAACCATTCATAAGGACGCCATGGAATTCGTGTCACATCCCAGTCAAGTGCGGCTGAAAGCAAACGAACAACAACCAAACAAACATATGCTACCAAGAACCTAATTGATTGAATCTCCTGGAGATTGAATCTCACTATAGTAGCTTTCCAACAAATGCTGCTCGTACAGCAAGGGGGTTGTTGGGAAGGGTGATGTGGATTTGATGTGTCTATATCATTCCTTAATTGTGGATCAGATTTGCAAATCAGGCTGCTTTGTGTCAGGCACAGCACTGTCAGATTTCAATATCGATGTGTATATATATATATATTAATATGTGTAGACATATAAATGCTATAACATATCCAGGAACTTCAGTGCAGGAGGTCTGCACAGCTTCAAAAGGAGGAACTCAAATTCACATAGATTGCAACACGTTTGATGTGTTTGTTTCTTTGAGTCAGTCAAGGTTTTGTGGAGGTCCTATGTATTAAGATATGTTTGCCGTTTTTCTCACTTCAGGTTTGTTTAAGTAATGTTGGAAAGTCTTATGCATATTTCTATCGAGGAATTCTGATCTGGAATTTGTGTTAGGCTACTATGCTACCCTTCCCCCTGCACCAACATGCTTTCAACAAATAGCACCTCACATGCAGTTTTGTTGAGACCTGGCTTGAACAAGTGGCTGCATCCACCGAGCTTTGTGAGACCTCTTGTCTGCATGCAATGACATTGCATGCCTTCTGCCTTTCTCTTCCTGTCTCTGACAACCAACATCTATAGAAAAGCCAGGTGGAGATGAAGGGTATATGATATACGTATATATGTCATTATTGTCATTTGTATAATATATAATTACATACCTCTGTTGCACAAAGAGCTTGTCTACTCAATCAGAGCATGTCTATACAATGGTGGCCCAGAAAGCAAAGTAACTAGCAAAGTACTGTTCAACACTAGCAGCCGGAAGTCTTTTTGACTCTTGAGATAGCCAATGACATCAATCTGCGACTGCCTGCATTTAACATTAACATGCACTTGTCCAACAGCCGAAAACAAGCTGGATCGCCCCTTGGTCTGGACGGAGACCCCAGTGAATTGCCGATGAGGCTCCCCTGCGACCGATGAGGCGTGGAACCAGCTCGAAGTCTGCCTCACCGGCCATCAAGGAGACAATTTCAATCTGGTTGGAACTTGGTGTGACGAATGATTGGAATAAATACTGAAGTTCCAACCCCAGACCCCTCTCCTTGAAAAATGCTGGCTTCCAGTTTTGTTGATGCCTTTGGCTTGCGGAACCACTGATTACAGTAAGCCGTCTGGAGCAGGGCTGGAGGTCAGCCACTGGCCACTGCCTGAGAATAGGATCGCCAGTGCTATGTGGACCATAGGGTCCACATGGGGAGGTTCTATTAATGAACCATCTGCAGTAGGGTCCAACTCCAATCCATTGCGCCCGACAGTTTCAATTTGGTCTCGGAGTCCCACTAAGACTCAGCCTCACCTGGGCTGCGCATGTCTCAAAAATCAATCTGTCGAACAAGCTTCTGTCCCATTCTTTCCAACTTAAGTTGGTCTGGCAGGTCTCGGTCTGGGGTGCTCTCATGTGATGCGTGCAAATCCTCGCAAAGCTGTGGATCTCCGAAACCTCGATCTAGTGTATCTGCGGGCTCATCCAACAATGGCGCTAGTCAAGTCATGTCGATTAACGCCAAGTCGAAATCGAACCGGTACGATCATATCGCAGTAGATCCAATAGTGAATGTGTCAAAACAGACCAACTGCATTCCGCCCTGTTACAATTAAACAGTGTTTTTTCTCCTAGTCCATCTGTTTGAGATCTGTTCACCCCCAAAAAGACATAATGTGTGCAGCAAGGCCTTTCGATAACCAAGCGGCATGATTCGTGGGATCGAAGCCATTGAAAACAAACTTGCATGCGAAGGGCAAGCTCTTCCCTGGACAAGCGCGGCGCTCGTAGGTGCAGGGGCAAGGAAGTCATATGTTCACCCACTGGCGCAAGCGCTCTGCGCAGTGAGTGATCCAGTGTGTTAGATGCGTCAAATGCACTGTTTCTCGGACCCTGACGTGCCATAGCACCAAGCTGCTAGTGAAATATGCACTTGCATTACCCACATTGTATTTCGATCATGTATCAGCCATTAGTGCCAAAATCGATATTTGAGTGATATTCTGTCGCAACTTCTGTCGCACCATGCTTCTTGCGCTCTTTTTTATGATCACCGTTACAGTAGGTACGTCGACATGGCTTTCCATGTGTTCCAAAGGGCCTTTGTTACTCTTGATATGTTGTCAGTTTTGACTGCTTAGACGCTGCTGCGTCAAATAACACCTACCCACAAACAGTTTCGTGACATTCACGCTCTCAGAACTTTCAAGCGTTCAAAGCTCCACTCTTGCAGGGTCTTCACCAGGCTGTTACCAGGTATCAAAAGGTCCATAAATTCATTGTCCATCTTGCAGAAACCCTCAGCCTGGATTCGGGTCCCAACTTCCTTCCAAGTGTGTGTATACTGTGTAAATCCAACCACCTGTGCAAAAAACTGGGAAATCCGTTGGTGTCTTGGAACAAAGCCATGCTCCCCCCAAAAGTGACCAATCCATCTGGCCCTCCTGTGGGAAACAAATAGACCAAGCTAGTGGTTGTTGTTCCAGAAATGTTTTAACTATTGTAGGGCGGCCGGACACGGTTTTAACCCGAGTACCCCGAAACAAAGGTTAGTCCATGTCAGACTTCTTGATGTGTTGAAATAGAACATACCCTGCAATGCCTACTAAGTTGGTCACTCTTAAGGGAATCGCGGCATCGCTGCATATCACCACAAGTTGATACAAATACTGTCCCACCTGGTGTTTTTGCCACCTGAGTACAGCGCCGTCCCGTGTTTCCGGCGCTTCGGTCCCGCCTGTGCGGTCGCCTGTGAAAGCGCTCGTCGGTCGCCCATGTCGCGGCGTCTGCTCGTAGTCCCCGTCGGCCGACTGAGGAGGCAGCGGAGGGATTGGCCTTGCGCGGAGGGCTGAAGACCTGGATTGATACAATGAGGTGACCAATGGACATCCAGTGACCAGTGTCCCGTTTGAATGAAACATATTATATGTTGATGTCTGTGTTGATTTGGCAAGACTCTTCATAGTGGATGCTTGCACTGTTGTCCATCTACTGGTCTGTTTCCTGGTCTATCCAGGAAATTCCTTGCAGTGCAAAAGAACGACTCATAACAACTCCAATTCACCACTTCTCACGATCAACTGCCCGGCTAGCGCCGTACATACACCCATACCAAGCCAATAGCTTTCCACAATCTTTCCACATACACCCATACCAAACCTGCGCTAGTCTTTCTGCCGTACCAGTTTCCGAGGTACCTAACAGAGTGGAATGGTCGGGCCAGTTTGGCAATATGATGCAACATGAAACTTTACAAAGGGGCATCACTGGGAGCGCAGTCTCATTTCATAGCTGATGGCATGGGCACTGTATCTAATTTGCTACACCGGGATCTTGAGATCTCTATCAGCCTTAGGAGTTTTACAAGGAATTTAGATTTCCTTGACTTGAGTAAAGAGCCAGCATTCTGAGGTCAACAGGCAAAGAATCAAGTCCACAGCAGATTCTTCGAGATCAAGGACATTGTGTGAAAGCCAATGGTTTGGCTCTCGGGAACCTTTTGAATGCGAGCCACAGGCTGGGGGCTTCGAACTGGCATGGCCAGGCCGGCGGCGGGTAGGCCGGCGGCGCCGGAATCGGCGTGGACCTCGGATGATGAGCGACCTGGTGGGTCCACGCGGTTTTCAGCAGCTCAACGACCGGGAACGAACAGTGAAACGATAGTGAACACCAAACGATAGAAATCAAATGAAATAAGATATACATTATACAAGGCCCTGAAAGTTAGGAACTGAAATGAATCCCTTGGCTTCAATTCACCAGTTCCTGCCGTTTTGGACTTACATTCGCAACCATATAGCCGTTCATTACCATGTTTACTCTATATGTTCGTTTTTTAATGTTTGCTTTTGCGGAAGCACGAACTGCGACAACTGGAGCCCAAAGGTGCGATTCCGCCCCAGGCTGGTTTCGCACACACGCGATCAGTCTGTTTTCTTGCGAGTATCTATAAAACATGACGGGTTCTGCGCGGGATAAGTACATGGGTTGTGGGCTTGAGAAACCGAGTCTGCCAAACAGTGTTCTTGGAGTCTTGTGTGCGAAAGCAAGGGTCTTCAGGGTTCAGGGTTCCGTTGCTCCTGGTAATGCCCATGGTCTGCCCTTTCCCGGAACCGCAATTGCAATCTAACCCAGCAGGCCTTTCAAACTAAAATATGTTGATCACATGTTGATCACGATATCACCTATACTATGTCATTATTCCAAAGCTTTGGAACGGTGTCCAACTTCTTCTTTCAGTCACGTCTTTGGAGTCCAGCTTCGTGACCTTTTACCAGGTCAAGTCGGTCAAGTCACCTCGAACTGGGACCTCAACTGGTACACAAAGTGATGACACGTCTCATTGGGATCCTTGACTGCAACGGGCTCGGGGTTTTGCTCCCGACGTCGTGCCCACCGGTTGAGGCTTGCAGCTGGCATGGGCAGGCTGTTGGCGGCAGGCCGGGCGGCGAGGGCCTCGGCTTCGGCCTCGACCCTCCAAGAAATCGATCAGCCGAACGTACCACTGAACCGATGCAACTAACTTCCACACATATAATATTTAAAATATATGCATGTAGAGACAAAGAGACAATATAGCTCAGTAGAGCTCTACAGGACCTCTGTCTTTACGGTTTCTAAACTCTAAACATACAATATACATAATTATTATATGTAATACTTTATACGTCTTATACATCATAAATACAATATATATATATTATATATGTATATATTGACTGAAGATTCCACGCAATTAAACCAATTCCCCAATTAATATGTTTTTGTGTTTTATTCCGAATTGATTGGGATTTCAATAATATCAACTTTCCGCACCCCCTAGAGCAACTTTCAGAGACGACATGAGACGACCAGAAAAAGATCGACTCCAAGCATCCCTTCCCTCCCTTTCAAAGTGCGAAGTGGCAAGAACATAAAACATCACAAAACCACTACCTGGTTGCTGTGTCAGTGCAGTGTTTTAAAGCAAAATACGGAGATCACCCAAACGCCATTTCACTGGATGAACCAGCCTCACATGAAATTCCTGGTTGTTCTTGTTTGGGACACGACACTCTCTTCTCCGACTCCCTCCACCACGGTCGCGCTGGCGCCTGGTGGGCTCCGGAGTGGTGCTGAGGCAGGTGAAGCGCCCGGCGCGAGCCTCGAAAGCGGGCGCGGAAAGGTTGGCCCTGAGACCTTCGGTCGAAAGCGGGTCGAATGCCGAGAAGCATTGGGAACCCTGGTTGAACATCAAGGGATTCCTGTATACATGTAATTGTAAAATATCGATACTAGGATGCCAAATTATGTTGGCAGGGTGAGGTTTTGACTCACGGCCATAAATTGTCCGTCACCAATCAAAGCCAAGGTTGTAGATAGGTTTTGGAAACTGCTTTGGAACCTGTAGGACCATGACCAGGTGATGATGTATTTAAGTCAAGAACTTAAAAGTGGGTCATGTCACACAAATAATAGCGATGGTTTCCAACCCAAGAGCGATGGCCTCCAACCTAATTTAATAGCGATGAACCTAAGCCCAAAAACCGGCCGCAAATGGAGTTATGCCTTTTTGAAACATCGAAATTTGCCGCGCGTCGCCCCTCCATCCATCAAAGTAAACCACATCGGGTGATTTTTCCGATCATATGGTTCAGAAACAACCATGTTTTTTATGTTGGGTTGTAAATGGTTTCAACCCACTGAAAAACGACTATAGTTGTTCCAGGTACATGTTGAACACATGATTATACACCAATATAGCACATATATAGTATGTTAAATGTATATCTGCGTACATTACTACGAAGAGTACCAACATCATCCCCCAGCGCAGACTTACTTGAGGAGACAGGGGTGGACGAAAGGTAGCATGTCTGCAGCTGCTGCTGCTGGTCTGCTGGTTGCTGGTCTGCTGGTTACTGGTCTGCTGGTTGCTGCTGCTGCTGGTTGCTGCTGCTGCTGGTTGCTGCTGCTGCTGGTTGCTGCTGCTGCTGCTGGTTGCTGCTGCTGCTGGTTGCTGCTGCCGCTGCTGCTGCTGGCTGCTGCCGCTGCTGCTGCTTGCTGCTGCTGCTGCTGCTGGTTGCTGCTGCTGGTTGCTGCTGCTGGTGCTGCTGCTGCTGCTGCTGGTTGCTGCTGCTGGTTGCTGGTTGCTGCTGCTGCTTGCTGCTGCTGCTTGCTGCTGCTGCTGGTTGCTGCTGCTGGTTGCTGCTGCTGCTGGTTGCTGCTGGTTGCTGGTTGCTGCTGCTGCTGCTTGCTGCTGCTGGTTGCTGCTGCTGCTGGTTGCTGCTGCTGCTTGCTGCTGCTGCTGCTGCCGCTGCTGCTTGCTGCTGCCGCTGCCGCTTGCTGCTTGCTGCTTGCTGCTTGCTGCTGGCTGCTGCTGCTGCTGCTGCTGCTGCTGCTGCTGGTGCTGGTGCTGGTGCTGGTGCTGGTTGCTGCTGCTGCTGGTTGCTGCTGCTGTTTGGCTGTTTCTGTTGCTACTTCTTGCTGGTTGCTGCTCCTGCTGGTTGCTGCTGGTTGCTGCTCCTGCTGGTTGCTGCTCCTGCTGGTTGCTGCTGCTGTTTGGCTGTTGCTGTTGCTACTTCTTGCTGGTTGCTGCTGTTGCTTGAACCCTGAAGGCTGCTGCTGCTTTGCTGTCCCCCCCTATTTCAATTTCGTCTGCGCAACCCCCAAAAAACTGCACGAAAACCAAGGGTTGTGGAGGCCAAACTTGTGTGAGCTTTGGCGCTTTGCTGCTGCTGCTTTGCTGCTGCTGCTGCTGTCGTTGCTGCTGCCACTGGTGCCACTGCTGCTGCTTTCTGCTTTGCTGTGCTGCTACTGCTGCTGCTGCATTGCTGGTTTGCTGCTGCTGCTGCTGGCTGCTTGCTTCTGCTCGGATCACTACCAAATTCTCCGCGGCGCAGGGTGGAGTCGAATGGCCCCCCCCCGACATTTAAAACCAACTCTTAAACAATCGAAATCAAGCGTCGGACCACTTCACCACCCCCAATACATTTTTGCTAAAGCAAAGACAACTCAGGTAGCGTAACCGCTACCTTTCGTGAGAAACCAAAACACCGACCGCAAGGCAGGTGCAACTCCTAAGGAATTCAGAAACCAAGATAAACACAGGAACCTGACAGCTCCAAACATTGAACAACATCACGTCAGGGATTTCGTTCGGCGTGGCTCCGAGAAAGGGTGCCATCCAAACCCACTGTTAAACGCATAAAATCTATAACCTAAAACCTGCGAGTGCCTGGGTTTTACTTTTGAAGCCAAAGCCATTCGAACAGCAATGCATCTATAAGACTGGTGCACCTAAGGTATCCCAAGATAACCCCGTGTTAAACAAACATGCAGTGGTGCGATAAGAACCACGTGACAAACTGAGCACTGTGCCCTGTAGTCTAAAGGCGCTTCATGTCTACAATTTCCGAACACAAATGCAGTGAAATAGTGTAAGATGCGCTCGCGCGCACACTTAGATAATGGGTCTGCAGTTAACTCTGTTCCTCGGAGAAATGGACGATGAAAACGCAAGGTGGTGAAGTCAGCTCACTTGGAAAGTTTAACAAAGTGTTCACTTGTCTGCAGTCGCGCGGCAGCTGAAAACGGCCGAAGGAAACTGGTTTGTTTTTGGGGATTAGCGCGCAAGAACCACCATGGCAGCAAAACAAAAGAGTGGACTCTGACCGCATCCACCGATAAAGCATAGCTTTGTTAGCCAGCGTTTGCTTGTCGGCCGCTGGCCCCCTGCAACCATCTGGGTGGTGGGTGGGACACTCTTAGAGACAGAGGTTGACACTTCGACATTGGTTTTCAGTTAACTCAATTGCCAGGAAAAATGGTGATGGAACGGCACGGTGAAAAGTCCAATGAGTTGAAGGTGTTTCCACAAAAGGTTTGCTCACAACTGCGGTGACAAGCTGTAAAACGCGCGGCTGCTGAAAGTGGCTGAGGGAAATGGTTTGGGGGGGAGTATCATGAACCACCATGAAGCAAAAAGGCAGAAAGTGGAACGGCTTGATCAACAGTTGCGTCGCAGGTACAGGAAACTGGCCAAGTTTCCCTTCCCACTCTTATCCACAGCTTCGTTGCGTGTGATAGGATAAGAGTGTCACACGCCCCTGCGGTATCACTTGATGGCGAAAGACCCTTCGAAACAGGGCTTGACACACACACGGTGCCGCTTGGCGGCGCTCGTGTGAGAAACCTGAATAGATACCTAAAAAGCCTTAGAAACGAAAGAAAGAAAGACAGAAAGAGCAGCGCTAAGAGGGCAAGAGAGAAAGATAGGTGTAGCAAAAAGAAAAGTGAATACTTAGCCCTTGACTGGGGTAGGGAAACGAGCCTCAAGAGTCACCTTAAAAGCCTGAGAAAAAGCCCAACAAACGAAGAAAAGCGCAAGAAGGAAAAGTGGGGGGGCAGGGAGTGTATGTCCATGTGTGTGCACGTGTGTGTGTTTGATTACCTAGCACTCTAGAAATACTGAATACTTAGACGAAGTGAATTAGGTGCAATAGTTAGGGAGCGGGACTTTAGTCTTAAACCGCCCGGGCAGAGTAGACTAGAAAGGGACAACAGAGGGAAAGGCACCGACACACAAGTGTGTCGAGTACCATTTCCCTGTGATACCCTAATTAGGTAGGGAGTAGAACACGGTGGGGGGGGGTTGGGAAACCTGCCTCAAGTGGGGGGAAAGAAAAAGCCGTTTTTAAGCCCGGCGGCTAGTAGATTCGTTTTTTAGCCCGACGGCTGTATGAGCAGTGAATTCAGGGTGGAGAAAGATCGATGAGGAAAAGTCTATGAAAGGAAGATGGTTCAGTGGCTCAATTTCCGGTATGTAGACAGCGCCTCCTTGCGGAGGATCACACCCAGCACCCATGTGGGACGGCTGAGCGGCTCACACTTCGACATTGGTTTTCAGTTAACTCAATTGCCAGGAAAAATGGTGATGGAACGGCACGGTGAAAAGTCCAATGAGTTGAAGGTGTTTCAACAAAAGGTTTGCTCACAACTGCGGTGACAAGCTGTAAAACGCGCGGCTGCTGAAAGTGGCTGAGGGAAATGGTTTGGGGGGAGTATCATGAACCACCATGAAGCAAAAAGGCAGAAAGTGGAACGGCTTGATCAACAGTTGCGTCGCAGGTACAGGAAACTGGCCAAGTTTCCCTTCCCACTCTTATCCACAGCTTCGTTGCGTGTGATAGGATAAGAGTGTCACACGCCCCTGCGGTATCACTTGATGGCGAAAGACCCTTTGAAACAGGGCTTGACACACACACACACACACACACTTGAGAGAAGAACTCCATGGAACAAGATTTCATGTTGGATCTCGGTGCTCATTAGCTGTACGTTATACTGCATTGGCCGAGTGCATCAGACCTTTGTAGCGAAACACCGCATCAGACAGCTTCGGCCACACTTAGGCTCACAAAGATTCAGCGGAATGAAGTCTGACAAATTGGCGCAGGTACGTTCTCACGACAACATGGATGGGCCTTCGTTGGTCCATGCCATGCAAGTGCCCATAAGCCCCTGCGATTGTCTGTGCAAATCCGCCATTAGAGAGGCAATAGACAGCTAGACGTCCCTGGAAACGGGAGGTGACACACACACAATGTACCGAATCGGCGCTGCTAGAAGCAAACCAAAAACCTGAATAGCCACCTAACAAGCCTTTAGAAAGAGAAGGAGAAGGATAAAGAGCAAGAAAATGGCAAGAGTGAAAGTATAGGCGTAGTTAGTCTGTCGGTCAGTTCGGCAAAAGAACTTTGTTTTGCAACTTAAAAGTTACAAGCCTCTAGGAGAAACGAAAGCAGAGAAGAGAACTTCATCTGGAAGGAGAGAAAAAACTGCAAAAAGCAGGCATCTTCCGAGCAAATGCGCCGAATGAACGGCAAATTGTTTGAGATCCAGTAGGAACTGTGTCTGGTGCAATTTGACACAAAGAAGCCGACTCAGGCGCAACCTGAAATACACCATGTTACACCTAACAAGCCTGTAAGAAGAGAGAGAAAGCAGAAAAGAGAAACGAAGTGGGAAGGAGAGAGAAGTGGCTGCAAAAATGTGTTTTCCGAGCAAGGGCGCCGAACAAATTGACAATCTGTTAAAGCTTGAAACTGAATCTTTCACGCGCGAAACTGACTCGTAGGATTACAGTAGCTCTGCAGAATAGATGCACGGTTCAAGAGCGCAGTCTTAAAAATCATTTGGAGCAAAAACATTCCGCGTCAGGGTGAGGTCCATAAAGGACTTTCAGAAACTGCTCTCCTGAGAAGGAGTTGAGACTCGGTAACGACGGTGCCCCTGCGGGGATCACACAGCTTACCCGAAACGCACTTGAGAAAAGAACTCCATGGAGCAAGATTTCAGGTTGGATCTCGGTGCTCATTAGCCCTGTACGTTATACTGCGTTAGCCGGGTGCATGAAACCTTTTTAGCAAAACACCTCACGAGACAGCTACAGCTTTGGCCATACTTAGGATCACGTGCAAATCCGCCAGTAGAGAGTTAATAGGAAGGTGGACGTCCCTGGAAACGTGAGGTGACACACACACACACGTGCTCTCGCACACACTTTGACATTGGGTTTTCAGTTAGCTGCAGTTCCCAGGTCAAAAATGGTGAAGGAACGGCAAGGTGAAGGGTCCGAGCACTTGTAGGTGTTTGAACAAAGGAGTTTCTCTCATCTGCGGAAGGCTGCGGCGGCGCAGCAGCAGCTCACGAACGGTGGAAAGCGGCGGAGGGAAACCTGTTTGTGGGGAAGTATCGTGAAAGAACCAATGACTCAAACCGTGGAAAAGTCGGGCGACAGCTTGTGGAAACATTTCAGCAGGTACACACCGAGACGTCTCTCAGTGCTTCCCGTGCGCCAGGTAGCTTTGTTGGACATGGTCCCTGAACGCACGCCATGTCCCCCTGCTTGAAACAGTTGAGAGGTATGGAAACTCTGAGATACAGAGTGTGACACGGAACTTACTAACCACCTAAAGAGCCTTAGAAAGAAAGAAAGGAAGAAAAGAAAAACAGAAAGGGAAACGCAAGGCAGGAGAGAAAACTAGGTGTAGTTACGAGGCCCACCAGTTACGAAACCGGCTAGTTACTGAATACTTAGCCGCATGAATTAAATGCACTAGTTAGCGAGCGGGACATTAGTCTTAAACCGCTCGGGTAGCTAGAACTAGGACAGGAGAAACAGAAGGAAAGGTACCGACACACAAGTGTGTCGAGTACCATTTCCTTCTGTTACTCTAGATAGCGGGTGGGATAACAGTACGAATTCGGTTGCAAGTTGGGGGGGGTGCGTGGAAGTATGTGTGACACATATATATATATATATGACCGTAAGCCCGGCGGCGTGGAAGTTCAGTGCCAATTCCGTAGGCCCGGCGGCTTAGGTTTTTGGGAATACAGTGGTGAAACGAAAGGCCGTTAAGACAATCCAACGAGTGCAGAACGTGGTGAAATCAGTTAGTGGTACTCCAGCATGAGACGGCGCCCCTGTGACGGGATCACACTGTGCACCCACGTGGGACGGCACAGCGGCACACACTTTGACATTGGGTTTTGAGTTAGCTCAGTTCCCAGGTCGAAAATGGTGGTGAAGGGTCCGAGCACTTGTAGGTGATTGAACGAAGGAGTTTCTCTCATCTGCGGAAGACTGCGGTGACGCAGCAGCAGCTCACGAACGGTGGAAAGCGGCGGAGGGAAACCTGTTTGTGGGGAAGTAGCGTGAAAGAATCATGAATCAAACCGTGGAAAAGTAGGGTGACAGCTTGTGGAAACATTTCGTCAGGTAGCTTCATTGGACATGGTCCCTGAACGCACACCATGTCCCCCTGCTTGAAACAGTTGAGAGGTAGAAACTCTTAGATACAGAGTGTGACACACACACACACAGTTAATAGGAAGGTAGACGTCCCTGGAACACACGTGCTCTCGCACACACACACATGCTCTCGCACACACTTAGATCCATGCTCACAAGAGCTATATCAGTTACAGTATATCAGTTTTGGTTATCCACTCTAGTGACTCTAGTGATTACAATACCGGTTTAGAGCGCTGAAGCCTGAACCTGTCAACGGCCATGTGCACAACGGGAAAAGTGAACAATTCAGCCTGAACAGTATTGTTTACATCATGTGAAGGAAGAGTTGAAAGCATGCAGGTACACAGAGCTGATCAGGCTCTGCTTCCCACTCTTCCACAGCTTCGTTGCGTGGTAGGACAAGAGTGCCACGCGCCCCACCCCTGCTTCACTGTACAAATTAAAGTGAATTCGTGACAGAACTCCTTGGAGACAGGAGTTGGCACACTTAGACAATGGGTTTTGCAGTTATATAACTCTGTTCCACGAGGAAGGGAATGGCTCAACGGCAAGGTGAAGCATCCGAGCATTTGAAGGTTTTTGAACAAAAGTTAACGTGTGACTGCTGAACACTAAGCAAGCCTAGGAAAGGAAAGAGTGAACCGAAAGGCGAAAAGTCAGAGTACTTGAAGTTGCATGTTTGAACAAAGGTTGACGCGTGACTGCAGAAAACTAGTTACTGATTGCTTAGCAGACTGAGCGTGCAAGGAAACCTGTTTTGGGGTGTATCATGACAACGACCATGGAAGCAAACCAAAGAAGTGGACAGCGTGTTCAAAATAATTGTCGCAGGTACAGGAAACTGGCCAAGTTTCCCTTCCCACTCTTATCCACAGCTTCGTTGCGTGTGATAGGATAAGAGTGTCACACGCCCCTGCGCATACTGAGAAACTCTTTGGGACAGAGTGTGACACACACACACACACACAATGCTGAATTCGGCGCACCGTGGGGAAAATGGCTGACACTTAATTGAAAAAAACTGGTTACAAACCTAAAGAGCCTCTAGAACGAAGAAAGGCCAAGACAGAGAAGCGCAAGCAGGAAAGAAAGCCGGGGGGGTTTGGGAGAGTCGAGTGAGTCTATTTCCAAGCCTAACAACTCGACAAAGCAAAAAGAAACTCCAAGAGAAGATAATATCACAGCCACTACACACCATCTTGGCTCCAAGAACTCCCAAGCATAGAAGAATGTCTCGTCTTCCCACTCTGCTAAAATCTGGCGTTTCCTCGAGGAAACATGCCTTGCTCATCTCTTGACAGACTTCTGGAAACTTGGCGGATGTCATCACTAAATGAGTCGAACACATTACAAGTCTCTGCCATGATCATCTCACGGCTGGGGCATATCAACGTGGATAGTGTCATGGCTTAGTTCGCACTCCTCAAAAGGGAAGTGACAGACATGCCGGCGTGAAGGCCTGAGCCACAATGCCTAGTGATCTCCAATGCAGTGTTGGCAAGCGCTTCCTCCTCCATAGCCTCATCCAAACATTGCTTGAGTGAGGCCAGGTCTATTGTCGTGGCCATTGCATCTCCTGCATCTGCTTCTCTCCCTTTACAGCTTGCAAAGAGTCAATGAATGAAGTCCTTGAAGCTGGCGATCTCAGTCATGGTCAGATTGACCCTGGCCACTTTCATCACTATTCATAGCCAGCTTCGCAGTGATTGCGTCTCTTTTGAGATTCCTGGCGTTCTCACTCCCAGCAGCCTCTGAAACAAACGGCCCAACACTTGAAGCGGCCGCTGGTGCAGCAGTCCTCTGTGCAGTCAGCTGGCTCTATGCTGAACTGGCAGCTTGCAGCCTCTGGAACTCCTTGTCCACGACGGTCTCTTTTACTGGCGGCACCACGGCACCGGCACCTGCACCACCTCAGCAGCCTCTTGCCCTTCTTGAGCTTTCAACTTCGCCAGCTGGGCTTCGAGCTTGGCCATCTCGACTTCGTGCTCATTCACCATTGCTAGCACAATAGCATGCGGGCTGATTCGAGTCTGAATTGTTGTGATTCCGAAATTAGTAAAAGTGCAAATTGTACTGCCAACATGGATTGTATATTGATGACTATGTTCTGCATCAGTTTAAATGTATGAATGATGATGCCAATGCTAATGTAATCATTAACACATGTACATTTGATTTGCAAAACCTCTTCATATAGGGGGCGGGTTATCAACCAACAGTCTACATTCCCAACCCATACCCACCACCTTCACCCACCCCTTTTGACAAATTCCTGGCCTCAGCTTGTGCCCAAGCTGCCAGGCTGGGCAAAGGCCTTGGAACCACCACAACTGGACTGGGACGACCTGTCCACGTAAACTGCTGTCCTGTGAGCTAGCTAGTTGGCCTTGTACAATGTAGTTTGAATCATTGACACATTTTGGACACATACTTTTTACTAGATCTTTTAGGATTATTTAGGCCAACTTCAGGTGAGTCTTCTCCAGTGGAGCCGAGCTGGACGAAGTCTCTCCGGTGTGGAGCCGGTCGTCTCTCCGACCGGTGACACTCTCGCCCCTTTGGTCATGGAACATCTGTAGCAGGTGGAGAAAGCTTCTCTCCTTCCAGGTCATCAAGAGAACTATATACAGTATATATATATATATGGAAGGTTGAAGAGTAAGAGAACTATGCATGGCCCCAGAACTTCTCACAGCTCTGGCACCTGAAGTGCCATAGATCACACCTACACTTGCCCGTGGGTCAAAGTCACCTTCGCTGACCTGCCTGGGAGGTGTCAGTTCGACCACCTGAAAGAAGGAATATAGGCCAATCGACGCATTGCTGGGGGGTCCCTATTTTCATACACATCTAAAAAGACCCATACATTGGAATGTCTGGGGTTCTTGGGAAGCTCTAGGGTGTTCCTGTTCCATTTCCTGATTTTCATACCCTTGTGGGAACCCCTACGGGAAATATAACCCTTGCGGAAATATCCTATTTTCTTACATACCCCTATGGGAAGCCCTATGGGAACCCTTATATGGAAATAACCCTTATGGGAACCCCTATGGTTTTCATACACACCCCTATCCTCGCTCTAGGAGCTCGAGGTGCTCTCGGGTGGCGTCCGTGGAAGGTCGTGTTTTCTCCACTCGGTCGATGCGTATGGGGTACGCGGAGGAGAGCGGCTCCTGGCGGGAACTGGACAAGTCCAAAAGAAGTTTATGTTGCTTCAATGGTCCATGGTGTTAATTTAAAGTGCATTAAAACAGATTTTGACTATCTTCACTAGTTTGTTTTGGAGACAAACAAAGCAACACTATGAGGAACCTTGGAACCTTGGTAAGGATGAGAATGGTTGAGGGCCTCGTAGGCGGTTGAACTCTGCGGCGGTCGTCGTCAGCGCCGTCCATGACGACCGGATGAACAAACCGAGGTTCCGTGCGGCGAGGTTCCGTTGTGAGACATTGATGACAATGTTGCAAAAAGAGCTGGAATACATTCAAGCAAATGGCATTGTTATGAAAACGACGACGGTAGAATTATACTCTCGGTGACAGTATAATGCAAGTGATGAAAGTGGAATTGAACGAATAACAATGTTGTAAAAGATGCAGGTAGTGATGAACACAAACACGCATAAACCCCAGGCAGCAAGAATGCCACCCAAACAACTACACAGGTCTGGAACAAAAAGCACATACACACATCATATATATATATACTGTAATTAGATGTTATATACTATGATATGTATATATAATTATGTATATACTATACATGAGAAAACAGCATACATGGCAATTTGTCGGACAAGAGGTGCCGTGTTCCGGCTTCCCCCGCATGGCCAGCCTTGGCCGTCCAAACATCTTTGGAGCTCAGCTCTTGCACTCTTTGGGGTCAGACCACCTGGGAAGTGGAGTTCACCACCTTTTTGGTCATCGGGTTCAACGGTCTCTCCGGGGGGAGATGGTCTATCCGCCGGGCTCCGTCGTGCAGAGCGCGCCGGGCCGTAGTCCATTGCGCACCTGCGTCCCGCAATAGTCCTCCGGGAGAGGCACCTGGCCAAAGCGGTTTTCCAGGTTGTGAGTCTCCCTATAGAGAGGGTTTGGGATCATGTCTTCTCGAGAGGGGCCTGTTGTGAGCGGTAGAACATTGAGATAAGTTGTATTTGTCCAAATTCATCCAAATTCTACATAGTGACATGATGACATGAACCCAGATATGAACAAATTGCGCTGGTAAGCATGTTTTAAATGTGTACTTAAACAAGTCAAACATGCCAACTATCTACACAAAAAAAATGCGTCCACAACTACTCTGACCTCTGGACTAGTTACCAAATTTGTTTTATGTGTCTTTTATGTTTCTTTGTATGTTTCGATGTGTTTGTTTGAGGTTTTGGTCTTATCCTGATGATATAATCTGGAATATCTAATGCTGATAGCATTCTACTTCATGACTCCGGCACTTAGTTCCAGCCGTCTTGTCCCCAAATTGAGAGACTTGGGCATGGGGTTTTATTCTATCATACGTTTAAGAATAATTCTAATTTGATCCTAATTTGAGCCTAATTGAACTCTGATTCAATTCTATCAATTTCTTCATTGAACGTCTACCTCAAAAAACCTGAAATGTTCACCGCTCACAATGCTTCTTGTTACTAGTAGTAAGGCACCTGTTACTACTAGCGTGGCACCTGTTACTACTAGCGTGGCACCTGTTACTACTAGCGTGGCACTTGTTACTACTAGCTTCTTGTATGTCAGATTATACTTCAAATATCTTCCGCAAAAGTCAAATATTCTGCCGCTCACAACAGGCCTTTCTGGTAATTTATGTCAGTGTAAAGACTGATTGATTTGTCTATTTCGACATGTATCAATAGGCTACCTGCCTCATGGACCTACCTTTTGGGAATATTCCTCTTCTACCCACGTGACAAACTCTCTCTCTCTCTAGTTTTGTGTATGATAGAATATCAACTGTCAGAACCTGTTTCCAAAAACCATGTGCAGTCATAGGCAAAAGAATATGAGAAACGCACACGCACATGCAAAGGCAGCAGAACCACATGACACAATGTTGCCAAAACTACTGTAACCTCATTCAATTCTCACAAGTGATATTATGTTTAGAATGTTTAGATGCACTTGTTTCCATTTGATTGAAAGCTTGCATTTGCACGAAATTCCAATTGGAAAATGGCACTCTTTTGTTGACTCAACAAATGTTCTGTTCGGATCAAGAGGCCTCCAATGCCCTGATCAGTTTGGTGAAGGGAAGATACCGTATGCTTGATATATTATATGTTGGTTCTGCTTCTGATACATACACATGCTGGCAATGTCACAAGCTCCAACTTTTCGAAGCACAAGGGCAAGGGCAAGAAACTTAACGAGTCCGTTTACAGAAACTTCAAACGTCCAGCATATGCAGAAACTTACGACCTATGTTTCAGGAGCATCACTGCATAGGTCCTATACGGGTACATGCAGCATCATTGCACCTCCTCCAATTTCCGCTGTGCTGAGTCTATGGGCTCCTCGTGCCAAATATCTACATTCTGCACCGTGGACCAAAAGGAGGCTTGGAAGAGGAACACACAAATATACCTTGCCATGAATGGATACAAACACACTCGGATAAAGAACTATGATAAGTATATTGATTGTGATGCAAGGATGGATCTCTTATTCACAAGTAGTTTCATGAAAGGAAAAGTCTCTTGTAGAGGGCCTCAGTTATAAAGGGGGAGTTGCTTATGATGAAGATGTGCAGTTGGAAATAACAACAACAACAACAACAACAACAACAACAACAACAACAACCACAACCACAACCACAACCACAACACTTGTATAAAAGGCAAACCTTGTATATATATATACACAACTAAGAAAACACAGTTGGATATTTGAGTAACCGCTTATCTTTAAACAAATAGAACGGATGTTTTGTTTCGACATGGACACATGCGCCTTCGATTAAGGACAGTTTGAAGCCAACACCCTTTCTCACTGCGAGAACTCTTGAAACGAAAGTTCAACATGTGGTAGATATTATGGAGGGTTCCCGTATAGTATATTACAGTATATATATATTATACATTATACATATATCATAGGAATCATTGGAATCCCTGCAGGTCAAGCCCGTCGAGGGGTCCATGCCAGAGATTCTGCTTCCTCAAAGGTTTCGTCCGTCCTATGGTTCATTGGAAAGTGGATAGGTCAATAGTGTACGGAATCCATTTATTTTTCCTGATCTTGGGCCGCCCGGACAGCTTCTGTAACGCAAATGAAACATTCAGGCACCACTTTAAGCTCCAAACATCTTTACATGATGCTAAAGACTAGGAATAGGAAAGTATATATCATTATATATATATATATACCAGCTGCTTCCTTTCGTGGTCTCCGGACTACCCTACATACACGAGACGGGTCCCGGACGGGCGGACGGCAACGAATTGGACGGCACCTTCATGGGAGACATGTCACGCCAGTCAGAGAGACTGCCTCGGATGTGCAACTGTACAGGAACAAGAAGCTCCTAGTAGCAAGGACGCTATTAGGTTGGAGGCCATCGCTAGTAGGTTGGAGGCCATTACTACTAGGAACAAGAAGCTACTAGGAGCAAAGGACATCGCTACTAGTAGCAAGGAGGCTACCTCCGTAAACATTCCAGGTGTGAAGAATCATTCCAGGCTACCTTCTTCCTCCGTTGACTTTTAAAATCTCTTCCAGGCTCGTCACGGTGAAGGCTCCAGCAAGTTTTCTGCATGACACAGCTTGGTGTTTGTGTTCCCCATTCTGAAACGGGGTTCCCTTCTAGGTTTCTTACTCTGGCGGGCCTCATCTTCGTTCGTCCTCAGGGTGGTCGAACATGTTCCTTTTCTACTAAACGGCTGCCAGTGGCAGTTTCGATACACCCAGAAACCAACTTACCTGGCTCACTTGAGTGAGCATCTCCATCCACTTAGATGCGGACGGCTGAGAATCACAATCCACTCAGAGAATCACTGACAAGATGTGGACGGCTCAACAAAACAAAGGAACCCCCTGTCAGGTGGCCCATATGCAACCATCAGGACATCACGACCCTCCACTTGCTCCCTAGGCGGCTGTTTTTGTTCATTCCTGGATTCCTGTCCTTCCCCAAAGGCGAGTTTACTCTCTTTATCTCTCTTCTTAGCCTTTTCCTTCCAAGGCAAAAATCGCTCTTCTCCACCTCTCAACCCATCCAAAAAGCTGGCATTTTCGACGCCCCAAATCCTTCCAAACGTGCTCCCAGGGCGCTGCCGGTGGGCGTGTCCTCCACCGGGTGCAGCTCCGAGGCCGTGGAGGGAGAAGACCTCGGACGGTCGGGGTGTGGAAGGTTGAGCAGCGAACGGGGGCACCACGGGGCGTGTTTTTGTTGATTGCACTTGGAGACTTGATGGTTCTTGCCATGTGACTTTTCATCCAGATTGAGGGAGTAGAATCTTGGGCAAAGCTCTTAGTAAATTGACAGGTCAAAAAAGTTTTGGTTCTGGCTCGGGTGGGTCAGTGAATGTTCTGGAATGGGGGATGTGATGTGTCATAAACTAGTTAAGCTGCTGATCAAGTAGGGCAAACTTCAAGTATTCTCCGATGAAACCAACTTTTATACAGTATGTATACTGATCTTTACCATCAAAACGATATGGCTCCACTTGCATACTGTCTGCAACCTCAAGCCTTTTAGCACGGGAACAAGTAGCACTCGCACAAAAACACCTAGGCTATGATGCAACCCAAAGGGAGATTTAGGCACCGCGGGTAAAACAAGGCCTGTTGACACCACCTCTCATCAAAACACCCGATTCTTGAACTGTCGACTGACAATCCCCGACGTCCAAAGTGTGAATGAAGCGACGGCTATCCCCGGATACCGTGGCCAATGACCAGAGTCTGCAACAGGAACCAAACGATGCTAGGTCAGGATGGCACATGTGTTCAACACTTAAAACACCAGGACGCTATGGCGATCTTGGGATTGACATGGATTGACTACAAACAAGGAACCAATTGAGTGGGGGTGTCTAGGGTCAATGAATCTAGAAGATGTTTGACTAAGAATATCTAGCACATCTAGGTTTGACCAATTCTGTGTCATCAGGACCAAGTATACCAAATTTGCCAAGCTCCTCGTCAGCTTTGTCTCCAAGCTGCCCTGTCTCGTCAGCCTTCAGCTTGTTGCTGTACGGGGCAAACTTTCCTCAGGCCATGGGGATGAGACCAGTTCGCCCGATAACAAGAAGGGACTGGTGTTGAAAGCACATGAAAGCACCAAACACAGGGCACGAGCCCTTTCTAGGGTGGTTGACGCCCTTCAAACAGGATCATTGAACGATAGAATTATAAAAAACTTTCATATGGTAAGGCCAGAATCCTTGATTTAAAAAAGTCAAAAACAGTCAACTGGAAAAGTCAAAGTCAAAAAAACACAAATTGAAAAGGAAAAAAAAAAGTCAAAAAAAAACAAAAAAATAAAACAGTTCCAAAACAAAATTAAAAAATGTCCAGTCAAGCGACTCAGGAGCAAAAGAAAGCCGGCATATATATATATATAAATGGAAAACACAGGCAAAAAGGACAACAACATTGAACTAAACTAGTAACAAGCTCATAAGTCAGCCAAGGCAAATTGCAGCCTTTTTGCTTATGGCTTATGGCTTTCAGTCTATAAAGAATTCTAGAACCTGTTTGGTTGTTCAACTTTCACCTTTTCCAGCCCCAAGCCAGCCCCAACCCCCTACCCCAGAGTCGCAGCATCCCTACCCAGCCCCAGCCACTGTCCCAGGGTCTCTTCAGCCCCAAGCCAGCCCTGTCCCTGGTGGCCCTGGTAGCCACCCCAGAGTCCCAAGTACCCAGCCCTGTCCGGCCCCAGAGTCGCGAGCAGAATTGACTTTTTTTCGACTTTTTTTTTGACTTTTTGTTGCCTCCAGTAATCCGCCAAGGCTAGGATCCGCGCTTGGTTTTCACATTTGACTTTTTTTTGACTTTTTTTCGACTCTTTTTTTACCTTTTTTTTTAAATACTTTTTTTCAACTTTTGATTTTTTTGACTTTTTTTTTACTTTTTGTTGCCTCCAGTAATCCGCCAAGGCTAGGATCCGCGCTTGGTTTTCACATTTGACTTTTTTTTTTGACTTTTTCTCGACTCTCTTTTTACACTTTTTTTTGACTTTTTCAACTTTTGACTTTTTTTTGACTTTTTGTTGCATCCGGTAATCCGACAAGGCTAGGATCCGCACATTTGACTTTTTTTTGCCTTTTCCAATTGACTTTTTTTTGACTTTTTTTGCCGGCCCAGCCCCGCATGCCCCAGCCCGCCTGTAGCCTGCCTGAGCTCGACCTCAACCTGACCCCTCCGCCAGGAGCCAGCCGCAGCCAGCCCAAAGCCTGGCCCTGGCAGCAACCTGCCCCAAAATTTGAGCAGCAGCTGGCTTGGGGCTGAAGAGACCCTGGGACAGTGGCTGGGGCTGGGTAGGGATCCTGCGACTCTGGGGTAGGGGGTTGGGGCTGGCTTGGGGCTGGAAAAGGTGAAAGTTGAACAACCAAACAGGTTCTAGAATTTTTTATAGACTGAAAGCCATAAGCCATAAGCAAAAAGGCTGCAATTTGCCTTGTTACAAGCTTTTCCTTAACTTGTTTACCTATGCAAAGTTTTTGTTTGACTTTTTTTTGACTTTTTGTTGACTGTTGACTTTTTTTTGACTTGTTGTTTTGATTTTTTTTGACTTTGACTTTTGGGATTGATTTTTTTTACTTAAAAAAATGAAAACATGTTCTATCCAATGAAAGTTTTTTATAACGATAGAACTTGAGGACTCTGATTTGAAGCGTTCAAGCTTAGCAACAAAAGCAGCTGCTCACGGCTTCATGGCTGAAACAAGTTGTTGGGGATGGGTAGGAGTAGCCCGCCCTCTTCTGACGAATTCCGGCTTCCAACAGCGCAGCACAACGCCCTCCCAACCCAATCTGTTCAATATGAGACTCCTCGCAGCTGTCGAAACATTTAGCTAATAAGCAACTTAGCAACTTCAGGTGAGCTGTTCGTGATTCATTTGTCACCCAATCAGAATCATAAGCGGGTCGATTTGGGGCTTCTCAGGAAACCTCCTCTGCCAGCTTAGCATCGGAGCTAAAATCACTACACTGTACACTGACCAAATCAATACCATTTCCATGTTTACCATGTCCGTCCCACATTGAACAAATCAAACCACGCGTCCAATGTGTGTCAACAAGCAGGGCGGATGTCCGAGCTCCTCCACCTCCTCGACCTTGGGCATCAGCTCCTCAGTCGACTGAACCACTGAACGGGGCGTGTGAGGATGTCACAAAACACACAACTATTCCATTCAAACCAGTATAGATGAAATCAGGTGGGATCACAAAACACCTCAAAATCAATCCGATCCCCATCATTCTCAGAATAGATCAAACTCTGCTGGAGAGCTGCAAGACATGGCTCCAAGATGTTCAAAGCTTTGGGGGCGGAAAACAAAGCAAAGCATGAAGGGCAAAGGTCAAATATGGCTGTGGGTCAAAACCTCGAGCAGTCTTATTCTGTTCATTTTCGGTGGTCGACCAGGGTGTCTCGGTTTTGACCCACAGCCACACGCCATCAACAAAGTGTGGAACTGGTTTTGACATGACCATCTTGGGCGCTTGCCGACAATATCCAAAGAATTGTCCATCCAAGTCCAACTTAAGCTTCAAATTATCCAAGCTATCTTGACTGGCCTGTAGGCAGTAGGCTGCGAAGCCAACATCAAAGCTCCTCTGAGGCTCTCCCAGTCTCAAGCGCACAGCTTGCAACATAATTGTGCTTCTAAATGGCACGTGCTTTGGCAAATGAACACGATGACTCAACCAGCCCAACAACCAACAAATATCAACAAACCAACCATACCTTCCGAGCTTCATGAAGCAAGTCAGACCCAATGTGACTCTCCATACCTGAAAGCGCGCTCTGGCTCAAGTGAGCAAGGCTTGCGCATGCGAAACTCCTGGATGTTCTTGGCACAACTCTGCAAAACTACTTTTGACACCATTTAGCGTTTTTCTGCTACGAGTGCCAGAGGGGCTCATGTGGAACGACCATATAGGTGAAAGCTCGATATTGCCGATACCTCCCAATTGCCTCAAAATGGGTCAGAAACTGGCATCATTCGCTGATTCCTGGTCTAAAGTACATCCAGTCGACAACATCTTTCTCATTGCGTTGGAACAAGACTAACAATTGGGGAGTCATCCATTATCAACCAAACCGCTTAGCTAAAAGGGAGGGCGTGGAAAACCACATCTTTACCACTTGATTCGACATCTGGTGTTTTGTTCCAACCAAACAGCCAAACTCAAACTTCAATATACAGTCATCAGTTGTTATCGGACCTGATAACCCTTAGCCTAACCATAGCCAATCCCAATTGCAGGCTCCAAAGCCCGCCAGCTCCGGGTTGAAGCAAGTCCCAGTCGACTTTTGGAGTCTATCCGGACAACTGGGTTGATGAGCTGGCTAACCCCTCCTCTTCATATGAGCTGGTCTAACCCAATTATATAAGAATCAGGCGAAAGGAGAGGACACCGGGACACCATCAACTAATTGCAGCCGGAGGATTGCTGAAGTCCCTTCCTTCAACATATATATATATAATTGGTAGTTTCTTTGAGTAAAATCGACAAGAACCAACTAGAATCTGTAAATCAAGCGAGATTATCTTCCATGTGCCGTGTGCCCCACTCCAATGGAGAAGCCAAGAGTGCTTTCGGTGAAAGTGTTGACGGAAAGTGCCATGTTGTCTGGCCACGTCGCACAACTTTCAGGCTTTGCCAAATAAGCCAAATGCTGCGGGACATGCACTCTACCATACTCTACCTATATTTAAGAGTGGCGAGCCAAATCGAACAGAGTTGGGTACTTATTGGCCATTCCAGCTCAACCCCCTGAAGAAGTCTCAGCGCCTACGAAAGGAAGCAGTCTCCGGAGCTCCAAGGTTTGGAACATAAACCGAGTGGGTCGAAGAAAAAAGGACCGACTCGTCGTGGATGTCCCGGGTTCAAACGATACCGGACGTTTTCTTGCGGACTGAACACGATTCGCAGTCACCGGTGACGTAAACATATATATATATGTAATATGTATATGTAACTATATATAATATATGCATGTTTGAATGTGTACATATGTTTTTGGGCTGTACAAAATGGCGCTATGCCATACGGTATGCACAGTCACCCCCTAAAACAATGCACTGGTATGCCCTAGGCCTGTATGCATTGGATGCTGAAGACTTTGGGCCATGTCATGCAAAAAACGACGTCTTTTAACACTTAGACTTAGAACAAGGGAGCCAGCACTTAGCAGAGTTTTCTAGTATGTTCTCGGAGGTGGATCATGTTGGATCCCGGCACTCGGGTGAATTCTGTGAGCTTCTCTTTTTGCGGACCCAAGCGATGGAATGTCAGCATCAGCTTACAAAAGAACCATTTAATGTATCAATGGAGGCAGGACATCACAAGCAGCTGGAAGTCGCTCAGTCTACCACGTGAAATACCCAAACGAACGCAGAACACCCGCCGGGCTCTGGCGCCGCCGCGCGCGCCGACGCCCGCGTGATGTCCTCACTTTTTTCGGACTCGACGGTTCGGAGTCGTCTGTCGTGACCCTATCCTGCGCTGTACTGCGAATGACTGCAGCGTATGCAGAGTCAAAGAACGACGATGAATTCTATGGCGCGCACCAACCCGACGCTGGAGACTCTGAGCTTCTTTCCGACTGGCAAAGCAAACAACTCAAATGCAACAAACACCCGTACATGGCTGGGAACGGCTAGTTTTCAAGGAGTCAAGCCCCCAGAAAATGCAAAGTGGACCACTTAAAGCGGGTTCACTTTCCTCCGCGCCGCAAGATAGACAATACACTAGGAATAGTTTATCCCATGTACTGCGTGCTTGCTGTACTGCGAATCACTGCAGCGGTATGCAGCATCAAAAACAACGATGAATTGGCAATGCCGGCGTTCAAAGTTGCGCTGGAAGGACCTCCCTTTTTCATGACTCAAATGGAACCCTCCAACAAATCCGAGTTGCCGAGGAGGCAAAACGACTCTCCACTCAACAAAAACACATAAACTTACATATATTGAAGATAGAAGTGATGTATTTGCAAGGAGTGATGTCCCCAGAAAAATGCAAACGTGGACCGCTTCAAGCGGGCCAACCTCCGGGATGAATTGAGCAAGATGCGCGTGTTTACAGCAGCAAGTGGTACCTCGGTGTTGAGCCAGTATTGGTGAGGCAGCAGGGTTGCTAGCGAGTCCAGCAAGTCTGTGTTCTGGGATGTTTGGAAAATAAGAATATACGCGTCTATAGTATAGTGATATTAATATAGAGACTTCCGATCTCTGGCTTTCAATAATGAAACCGTCCAATCTGTATGAACATCTTCTCCAACTCCCACCAAACGATATCCTAAATACACCCACATGGAACCCTGGAACCCCCAACAAAGTGAATCGCTCCTCAAGCATTTCAGGCGGATGTTCCATGGATCGCTTGCGCCAAGCAAACCAATGGCGGATCCCAACTGGATCCTGAGGGTATACCCAAATCGGAAGATGTTTGGCACTAGCTTCCATGCCAAACTCGGGTGGGGACACCCCTCCCGCCAAAACGGGAAAGAAGAACTTCACGAAGTGAGGGCGAGTCAAATTTGACATTGACATCGTATAGTATAGTATGACATATTATATACTATACATATCAATAATGCTGTACTGGAAGCACAGTACAGTATTGTTGTATCTGATCTTTTCCGTTGTTGTAAGTTCGTTCTTGGACGAATCAGCCGAGCCCTGACAAGCTGAGCCCAATACAAGTTGGGCACCGGGGAAATCCCACGTTTGTAGCAATAACCTCAGGAGGAAAGCCAACCAAATTGATCAGGCATGGGGAGCTGCTTCAAACAAATCGTGAGGTGTCAACTCCCCTTGACATATATACTGACTGTAGAATCCCACATTGAATCACTGAAAGATACTGGAAAAATACATTGAATCACTGTTGGGGTTAGAGGTGCTCCGCGGTGCTCCCCACAAGCCTGGACTGAAGGGTCCCAGGGTGAAGTCCTGAGTGACTTAGCCAAGTCCCGAGGTCCCCATCTGTTCCACGGTTTCTGTTCGACGTGCATATATGAACATCAACATGCCGATGCCCAACACGTCCAACGAGCCGATGCCCAACACGTCCCGTGCTTGGTTTGTCTTTATCGACATGTTCAGAGTGTCTTTATGATTGTCATGTTTCTTGGTATTCCCGCTCTGTCCGTTACAGAGTGAAACAGTTGATGCATGTGAATGCAAAACAATCCTGTAGACAATGCCTGATTGATGTTGATCCTCAGCATGATGTGATATTCTGCAGTCTGCAGAGCATATATAGGTCAAAAGATACCCCAATCAAAACCAATCCCAATCTGTGTCTTGAACATGGTCCCCCATAGTATCCAACAATATCCACAAATTGAAGATTGGATGACAATTGCCAACAGTCCTTTTTAGATTCCCTTTTGCTGATTGTTGATGTTTGTGGATGTTAGCGCTGAAAAATGTCCACTGTATACTGCAATACCCTCCTAAAAAATAAACATCAAATCCATACAATTCCGGCAAGCCAAAACCGCAAACGAGGGCAGTCGAGTCCTTTCCCTCGCTTCGAGTCCGCCTTCCCGATCCCGAGGCCCCGAGCGAGAGAAGTGCTGGCCTTTGGCGTCGCGGCAGCGGCAGGGAAGCTCCGACGTGCCAAGGTGCCCCACGAGGAGGTACAAACTAGCCTTGAAGGTGATGAGTAAAAACCAGCTGGTGACCTGCTTCTAGGTTTTTGTCAGGTGGATGGCAAGCCGAAGGCACCTGGGCCAGCAAATCTAGCTTGCTCAAAATGGAAAAAGTTAGATTCGGAAGTGTTGTGTTGTCCAAGCGGAAACACATCTGACTTGCAGCGAAAACAATGGTTACAGCGGCCCCTTCACCGTGTGTTTTCAGGTTCTAATGGTTCTGATTGCCATCACGGTTGACTACCAAACAAACTCAAAAGCTGTGCCCCGATGCACTCCTCATGGAAGAACTCCTTTGCTACACCCGCTATGATGTACAAAAACCCTGTAAACAAATGTCAAAAGTACAAAGAGGACATCTCTTCAACCCGGACTGGTGTGGATGTTCTTCCAACTGTCGAGATACTGAGATCCTCCAGGTGGATGTTCAGCTGGCGGATTCCTGTGGAACCCACGAGTGCACTGACAGCGGCCATGTTGCAAACTGGTCAAAGATGTGTCAAAAGCCACTGGTCCATTGAACTTGAGTGCTCTACCACTGGGGCGCAGCGAACCCGACCTACCTGGTACAGAAGTCACCATCTTGCCCACGACCTTCTTTGCTTAGTAAGTCACATAAATCCCAGCTGAGTAGTGAATCTGATTCCCAGCAAAGTGCATTGCGTTCGATGTTTTTTTTCTGACCAAACGTGCTTAAAGCACGCATGACTTTGTCTTGTCAAACCATAGTATTTAGCATGACTCAAACCCACCTGAGCCTGAGACATAGACAATGGTCATGAGCCAAAAAATCCCAAAATGATCCAAAATGATCTCACTCTGTTTTCATCTGTTTTCTTTAGAAGGTTCACCCAAAGAACCCATTCTGCAAACCTATCTTCCTCCATCTTTCCCGTTCTCCAACATCCCTAGCCACACCTCGCCCCATTTCGCCTCGCTGCACCACACCCTCTCCACCGGTGCTCCTTCGTCCAAGCTCTCCTGGTCATGGCACGAGAGGGTGACCTCCACCGGAGACTCCGCGGATCGACCTCGGTCGCGACCGGTCCGAGCGACCGGTCGTGGAGTGGAGTCGCTGCGGTTCGACTCGAGGTGCTGTTGGCACTTTAGTATAGTACCGAATCGAACAGTTGGTATTGTTTTTTTTGCTTTTTGGGGGTTTGCGCAGGTGCGGTTTTTGTGAGGCGTGCTCTTCCTGCCTTTGGGGTTCAGGGTTCAATGTTGGTGTTTATATGTGTTTATTGAGGTGTTGTATATTGGCCTTTCCTGTTTGACAATTATATATATATAGCTGGAAACTGTGTTGTGTTTTTTTTTTGATGCACACGAGTCTTGAGACTTTGAACATCAAAAACTGCTCATTCCGAGTCGGATTTGCTGGCGAAAGCAACTTGCACTCGTGGTAGGCACGGCAGGGGGAATGGTGAGGGGGCAACATTTAGTGAGACGGTGTGTGTGTGTGTGTGTGTGTGTCTGTGTGTTTGTGTGTGATTGTGTGTGTTTGCGCATGATTATGCAGCGTGGCCGTGCCATTAGGATTTGCATTTGCAGGGGGTCCCTTTAGGTCCTTTAGAGGTGCGAACGCAGCGAAATGCATTGTCAGGGTGCGTCAGGCGAGCGCTGACTTCCTGGCGAGCTCTCAGTTCCATTGGTGATTGCATGGTTGCAAATCGCCCTGCAATGGTTATGTTTCTGGCCAAAGAAGAATGAAGTCGAGCCTTCTTGCCAAACAGTTGGGAACGTATATAACTATTTAATAAGACTTCCAGAGACCAAGTAAAGAACGGTCAGGTTTTAACATCCGCAGCAAGCAAACCTACCAAACCGATCTCCGCAGAACATACAGGTCAAAGGCAGGTACCCTCTGCATTGTCACTCGTCACTATTCAACCTACAAGTACCTATATACATGCACAGCAAATCTTTGTGTCTGACATGTTGCCTTCGGCCCCATCTGGCTTTCACTGTTCCACTAAACTCCAAACAATTGTTCTGCAACGAAGCAAAATCACCCAGAAACTGTTTGAAGTGGGCATCCCTAGAAGCCTAGACACCCCAACTCACTGGCAAAGCCGTGGCATCAACTACATCATATCAAAGTGGAAAGAACATCATGGTAACCAAAGTGTCAACCACCCAACAACGTCAACAACACGGACAATTTGAGAAGACAGTGCACGTGGTGCGGGTTTGTGTGTGTGTGTGCAACATGTAGTTTCTTGCAATTTGGAACATGTACTTCTAAACTAAACAACTTTGACCCAGATTTGAAGGTAAACTCCCAACTTTTGTGCCTCATGTGTTTTTGATGCTTGCTTAGCTGCTATTGTTTTGCTGTATGATTTCCACGATTCGTCCCCCCTGAGGTTGTTCCCTTTTCCAATATGAGGAACACACGGAAAATGGAACAGGAGCAACAAGACCGGGCATCTATTGATGGACGTTCTCGCTGCAGTCGGACTGGTCTGCGTACCAAGCTTGGTCGTTCCGTCGCCAGGACTGCCCCTTGCCATTTAGGGGACGACCAGGGACGACTATTCGATGCTGAGCGGCCAGTCTGGATCTTGCCAGTGTGAGAGCCATCCCATCCAGTGACGCGGATCTTTCCTCGTCGTGAACGCGTCGAGGTGAATGCGTCGAGGGTACCGCTGCCACTGAACCGTCGGACGGGCCGAGGAAAAAAAGCAATCGATCGTCGCCAAAGGCCTGTCCAATCACTATCCTTTGTGGGAAACGGCATATCGAGTTGCGGCTCTTCTCCATGACCGTTGATTTATATGAAGTTCGGTAAACCACCAAGCACCTGTGTATGCCACTAGGGTGAGGATGGTTAGGGGAAATTATTCATTCGGCCTAGGTCTATCGATTCTTTGCTTTGACAAACAGTAGCTTCAGGAGTGTGATGCACAGCTACGCGCCGGTCAGGTCAATAGGTCAGCAGGGCAAACAATGTCTAAAGGTAAGCAACTGGGGGCTGAAGTCATCACTTCCCATGCGCACAAACAGTGCTAAGTCCTAGGTTAAAAAAAGCACATTTTTAGTTACTTTTGCCAGAGTCTACATTATACTGTTTTTGTATACACATTAATATACAGCAGTTGTAATATTACATGTCATATATATTGAGTATAACCTTTGGTCTGTTGGGGTCTGTTCTGTGAAGCATTCATATCCAATTTGGGCGAGTCTGGTGGCTGTGCACTCGCAGCATGTGGAAATGCAGCCGCAAAGCCTGATTCCTGATGTGCCGATCTCTGTATAGACTATAGAATAACAAAAACAATCCGCTGGGTCAAGATGCTCGCCAACCCAAGTAAAACACCGAGAAAGGGTAAAATAAATTGATATGATACACTCCTAATGATGATGGATTCATATTTAGAGAGTGCTTTGTCCTGAGATTCCAGTGACCGTGGTCACAGCCCCCCTGATGAATGCTAGGTGGAGGTCGCACGGCAGCACAAGTTGGCTGAAACAAGTAGACTCAAACAAAGACTAAAAACAGATCGAACATGATACAACATCCTAATGAACCCATGCTTTGTGGATGAACATGTTTATGAGTCTTGGCTTTGCGCCTGCCTGACGCACCGTCAAAAGCGGAGAAACAACATGATTTGCCTGCCTCGGCAGGATTGGGAGATCGGGCGCAAGTTGCATCCTGAGCTGCGCAGGAGAGTTGTGTCACTGGAATCGCGCTGATGAAAACATTCAGAATAGAATGGCACAAGCCTTCATATATACATATATATACAGTTTTTTTCTGTTCCATGTAATTCCTGGGACTCACAAAACATACACATCGCTGGATTTCCCATGGATTTCCCATGGATTTCCCATTGGAAGTGATTTTTGGTACGAGTACTGTGAGTGGGTTGAGTGGGTGGGTTGGCCAATACATTCCAAGACTCCCTTGCGACCGATCAGGCGCGGCACCAACTCGAAGTCTGCCTAGGCACTCCGAAAGGACCAAAAACTGAAACAAATAAATTGCACCATGCCCTACGCAGTGGGGATACCTATCAAAATAGAACTGATTCCTATCAATACAAAAAATGATGCCTATCAAACAGAACATAATTCGTATCAAACACATGTCACATGTTCCCCCAACTCCTTTGGTCCTGGTCTGCTAGTTCCCTGGTTGCTTGGTCCTCTGGTCCCTTTGTCCTGGATCCTTGGACGAGGAAGTTGCCATTCCAAGGTAGCAAACCTTTTGTGAGCCCCCAGAGGGTAAATTAAGAACTGTTCCAACATAGCAGACTTTGTTAGCCTTGTGCGGGTACAATTTAGAGGATAAAGTTGCCATTCCAACGTAGCAGGCCTTTGTTTTGTGAGCAACCCGAGGGTAGAATTTAGAGAAGGAGGGCTATTCCAACGTAGCGCACTTTTTAATTTTGTGAGCCACCACGAGCCACCCGAGGATGACATTTAGAGGAGGAAGGTGCCACGCCAAGGTAGCAGACCTTTTGTGAGGCATGCAGGGGCACAATTTAGAGGAGGAAGGAACAATTCCGATTCCAGGTAGCAGACCTTTTGTGAGCATTGAGGGCAAACTTTAGAGGAGGAAGGTGCCAGTCCAACGTAGCAGACCTTTTTTGAGCCATCCACGTCTAGAGGTCTCGAAATTCAGAGAGATCATGGTTGAGACGCAGAGAGGCAGATCCAAAGGCCTGGAGATCCAAACAGAAAGGTGTAGAGGTCTGGATACATGCAGAGGTTTAGAGGGATTGAGGTCTAGACAGGTCTCGATCTAAATTCTAGATGACGTAGAGGGTCTAGAAAATATAGAGGCCGAGATCCAGGATCTAGAAAGGTTTTGAGGTGCTGAGAGGGTGCAAAGGTCTTCAAATCCAAAAATATCAAGAGCTCTTTTCAAAGGTCTTGAGATCCACAAAAATGCTGCGCCTGCCATAGTTTGCCACACAACGTTCACAATCGCTGCGCCTGCCACGATATCTGCACTTAGAGGTTCACCCAGCGCAGCCTGCCACAAGATCTGCACTTCGAGGTTCACAACTGCTCCCGCCACAGAATGTGCACTTCAAGGTTCACAAACCGCTGCGCCTGCCTTGAAATCTGCACTTTGAGGTTCGCAAAGTGCTGCGCCTGCCACGACCAGTCGACCAGTGGGCAAATTTCTGCCCCTGCCACAAAATCTAAGACTGAAGGTGCTCAAACGCTGCATTTGCCACAAAATCTGCACATCAAGATTCACATCGTGCAGCCCTTCCAAGGCGGTTCGCAGCAGTTCTCTGCGAGTGGATATTTAGATAAGCACCTTTTCTTTTTGATAAAACATAAATATATATATATAGTTATATTCGTTTTAAAAGCCTGGCCTACCGAGTAGGTGTCTTTGGTCTTTGGACAAAAAAAATGAGGTTCATCAATTGTTCCGCTGATGACGCTGGTCAATTGCGAGTTTTCCACTTCTGACCTGGTCAAGGGTATTGTGGCACGTGCCCGCTGCTGACCTATGACAATAATTACCAACGTAAAATTAGTGTTGTCCCCCTCTGGCCCTGCAGCAAAAAACATCTGCCTAAATAGAAGACCCGCTGGCCCGAAATCAAACGACAATGAACTAAACATGATAAGCGTAGACAATATTTCCAGATTTGCTTGTTAAACGCATAGAGCAAGGGTGCAAACAGTTTTGTAGTGAATGATATTAAAAAACATGAAAAACGTACTGGGCTATCCTCTTTGTGGAATAGATTTATTGACATAGCTTCATCGGATTTAATATAGAGGCGTTTTTCAAAAGGATTAAAACCCAAAAGGAAATCAATATTGAATCCAAAGGAATATAGAAACGGACATCAAAAGGAACCAATGTAAGTAGAATGAACCAAACACGCAAAGTGTAGACATTCCAGGGGGGTGTTATAGTAAAAGACCAGAAGAGAAGACATTATTGTAGGGGGGCTACCCTCTTTGTGGAATACATTTTCGCAATGTTGTGAAAAAGATTTATAAGCAGCTTCAAAAAAAACAATTCATTGAATTGAACAATAGCTAGCCAAAATGAGTTTAGAACAAAAGCAATAGGAATCCAATGGAACGAAATCAAGGTAATCAGAAGAATTCAACTGGAATCGAAAGGAAATCAATAATTAAGAATGGAACGGAGTTTAATATAATCTTTGTGAAAGCCCAATGGTGCAAACACTTTTTTGGGACCGTTTACTAATCGACCCTGAAAATGAAAGGGTACTCTGAAAGCTGTTGCAACATGTAGAGCCTCGTAGAACCCCAGCACCCCGCCAACACACCATCCTCCTTTGCTAGGTTCATCACTCAAGCCGACCACCTGGGGCAACTTCTCCCATGCGTCCCTGCCAGTATTGCCTGGCTATTTAACTTCCAACCTTAGCACCAACCCGTATCCGCTGCCTTGGGACACGAAGATCGTGTTCGTGCCTGAACATACTTAGGGATCCTAAATATGTTGCCTCTATGGGTGCACAGTCATGGAGCACGTGAGCAATTTAAACAATCCCGTTTAAAAAAAACGCTCACCAATCACAAGAAACTCATATCGAGGACCCACTCGGAGACCCCTAAGTATGGTTGGTTTAAAAATAGAAATGTGCGAAATGTGTTTAAGTTAACGCCCTTTAAAGCCAGTACTAACTACCAAACATGGTCGGTTTTGGTGCTCTTTAATTAGGTTCCAAAAACAACCCGAACTGCCCACCTCTGTCCACCCTGTCTGTCCACCATGACACGCCGCGTTTACACCAGCAGGCTTTCGTTCCCCCAATGGCACAGACTCACCCAAACGCACATGCTCGCAAAACCGCATGGCACAGCGACATCACCTTTCGTAAGCTTTAGTTGTTAGTCTTATGAAGATCGAATCACTATTGTAGTAAAGGCATTTGTGAAGGGAAAAGGAAGACCCTTCGATCTTGAGCTTTTTTGTTTCAATTTGTGATACGAGCTTAATAAAGGAGTTTGTAATATTGTATATAAAATATTTCCTGGGTAGCTCTTCCCAGGTTTCTGCACAAAATCTACACTTCAAGCTTCACAAAGCGCTGCGCCTGCCAGGAAGTCTGCATTTCATATGTAATCAACGATTAAATGATTCAAAAGGATCCTCTCACTGACCCTATTTTGGACAACCCCTATTTCAAAACAACGCACCCTATATTTTTATATGAGGGGGGAGGCCGCGTTTCTTTTAACGTTTTTTAATAGGTGGAAGTGGAAGGGATTATCGGTGGCTTGGCATTGGCTGCACTGTTTGAGTGCTTTACAACAGGGTAAAGACTAAGAGCTAAGCATAGAGACGGCCAGAGTCCAGCGACACACCAAACATCAAACGATGCCCTTGCCGTCCTCTGCTTGGAAACGCTGGAGGCGCATCGGGGTCATCAGCGACTTCACATTGCGTGGCTCCAGGATCCGGCGCTCAACAAGAGAAGAGGTTGCGACAGGGCACATTCTCAATCTCTTGGCCTCCTCAGGTGGAAGCTTTAGGAAGGCCATCGCCTTGTTCGCCATCATACAGCTTCCTCATAAACATAGTGTTGCTGTCCCAAAATGGCTCCCAACATCGCCAGCATGAGCTTCTCTGACTTCTCGCTTCAGAGTCACCAGGCGCCTCATCCAGCCATGTCAGCTGCAAAGGAACTGAGTTCTTGCACGTAGGCAGGGTTCCGTTTGCAAGCATGTGTGGCCATGCAACCAAGCCAGATCAAGCAATTTCGATACAATTCCCTCCTGTAGAAATGGCTCCTTTCGTTTGCCAACTGATGCAGTTCCATATATACGAAGATCAAGCTGTTGCCATGCTCCTTGAGCTTCCAAAAAAGATCAAAAAAGCAGCCTGCCTGCCAATGTGATGCTCCCTGGCTCACTCCGGCAAACACTGGCGTAGTCGTTCAGCGTCTCTGAAGTGTTCAATCAGCGGCCCAGATTTCATCACCTTTCGCTGTGTTTCAAGTCCATCCGTTTGATGTTCCGGTCACCCCTGGGCCCCTTTAAATCCTTCCCAAGCTTGAAGTACGTCAAGTTCATCCTGTAGATTCGTGCAATACCTTTTTGTATTTGAATTCTACCCATATGTTGCAAGTCACCCTTTTTTCGCTTCAAGTTCAAGTCCACGTGTTTAACGACAACCGTTGTAAACACTGTAAAACAATGATCTTTCCTGTGAAGGGTTAAGGGTGAATATTGAATATTGTAGAACAAACAAGACTTTACCAACCACCGCGGTAAAAACGGTAAGCATCAATGCTTTTTCCTAAATACAGAAGTAAATACGGAAAAACAAACACCATATTTTCACTGTGGGGGTTGTCAGCGGGTACTGGCTACAACAACAACACGCGCGAAGCGGCTTAGATGGAGAACATGTCACGAAAAAACCGAGTGAAACCACATCACGTTCTCATTCATGCATTGTGTTTTCCATTTGTTCCTCTAAACAACTTATCAGCTAGAGGAGGCTAGCTTTGCCCGCCCTATCAAAACACGTGCACAGAAACCCCTGTCCACCCAGCAGCATGATTGTTTGCGTCAAAGCCATTGAACACGAACTTGCACATGAAGTGTCCATTCTTCCCTGGATGAGGGCGGCATCAACAAACATATCAACCCCCCCAAAAAAAAACAAAAGCCAGCAACACATGTGAGTGGTGTTCAAAGCTCTGCTCTGCTTCTGCGCCAAAAAAGGGATGATGTTGCAATGTTGAAGAACAAAAAACATGGGCTGCCCACGGGCACAAGAATTACAATAACCTGTTCGTCGATGCAATGTTCATGGATGTTGACCTGCAAATCTGGAAACGTTTCCAAGACGAGGCTCAAACAGTTTGGCGAACACTCGGCTCTCGTGTTGAGAGTCCAATGACGATGGCGTGACTGGGAGTTTTGTAATGTTGATTCCACAAATCACACTCTCACAACAGCCCCTTCTTATTAATTGTATATATAGTTTTAATGGATACTTGGCCAGTATCCAAGTATCCAAGCCACACACCTGCTGACCAAGCAATGTCCACTAGGCCATGTTTGTAGCTGATTGCATTCTACATAGTTTTTGCGGAAAGTGTTTGTATATGTGTGTGTGTGCCGGTCAGACCAGACCAGCCCCGAAGAAAGGAATATCGGGAAGATCCACCGGCGTCTTGGAACGTGCACAGCGAACTGGCTACATCATATAGGGTATCCCGTGTAGCACCACGTCGTCACTTAGTGGTAAGTTCGGAAAAAGGAACGTTGAACAAGCAATCTGTGGTCCCTTCTAGCTCACTATATATAGGAAAGGGAACTAATAGAGAAAAACAAGTGATAACAAGTGTATTTATTTACAAATAGAGAGAGAGAGAACGATAAAAAAAAATAGAAACAGTCTCAGAAAGCGAGCAACTTTGACCCAGAAACATGTTGTATTCTTATCGGTTGTTCTTTCACTTGGTTGAGTTGGTGTCGCTCTTTTGACACATGCCATGTTGATGACATCGAGTTCGGCCCAGGCGTATAGGTGCAGCAACCCAGGCCGTCGCACCTGTGCCCGGGAGTCGCGCTGGTGGAAGCGTGGGCTCATAGTCCCTGTCGGCGGACTGAGGAGGCAGCGGAGGCATCGGCCTCAGCTTGCTGAAGTGTGCACCTGTGCAATCCGGAAGAATCTTTTGGGAGGTGTACAAGGAAAACAAAGGTGTCCAATGTGGGTAAAGCAAGGTAAGGAATGTGATGCATGCTTCTAGCACACGATTTGGGGATCCTGTTGATTGGGCAAGCTCTCCAAAGGGATCCGATGCGAATGAACTGTTTTCGAGAGATTCCCTTCGACGATCTTCGACGAGAATTCTCCAAATTGTTCCTTGCTCAATCGTTCATCCTTCAAATTGGAACAAGTCACTGCCACCATTACGGGCCCGCATACTTTCTAGCTCTTTCACCCCAGACCGTCCTTGCGCCGGTCTTCCCATAGCTTGATTCTTGATGTCTGACGTCCACCCAAGACCTATGGTCCAGCGACGTCGGTCGCCACCCTCCGTCCAAGCCACAGGGGTGGGGCCTCGAACTGGCATGGCCAGGTCGGAGGCGGGTAGGCCGGTGGCGCAGGCCTCGGACAGAGGATCAGCGACGGAACCACAGGATGCACGCGGGTCACGTGTGTCTACACTCCCTGAATTGATCATGGAAGTGGATGGCACCAACTCTTTGTAGAGGAACATGGTCATCCAAGGGGCCATGCCATCCACTTCCATGCTTATTTCTCGGAGTCTAGTCTTGTTTCAACATGTTTCAACTGTACTATATAACTATATAACTATATCACCATATCTCTTTAACTCTTTTACTCGTGGTTGAACATCCCAATGAACATGAAAGAAACGAAACAACACTGAACACTGATTGAATTCTGGGGTTTGGGTGTTGTCTTTAGAACCACTCATTGAATGAACCGTGACTTCGCTCTTGGAACCAGAACATGCAAAACCTTTGGTGAAAATCCAACCTCCATTTTGATCAACCAAAACAGCACTCATCCACCAGTGTTTTTCCTTGATCCTCCGTTCATATGGGAATCATTTGGGATCCCAAGAGCGAGCTGATTCGACGTTCGACAAGTATATATACATTGCATACACATTTAAAACAATATATGCTTTGCGGAGCAGGCGCTCTCTTCTTCCGACCAACCTCTCCGACCGGACTTCCACCGTCAATGGACAGAATCACGCCTATATACCTTCCCCTCAACACTTCATTAAAAAAGATGCAACCCTTTAGAAAAACAAGGATTGGAGCGCGAAACCGACCAGGTCACAATGTGATGTTTGGCAGAGTGTGTTGACCCGGCTAGTTGTCCATCTGAATCCATATGCACAGCCTGGTGAGCTCTGGAGTGGTGCTGAGGCAAGTGAAGCGCCCGGCGCGAGCCTGGCGCTTAAGTTTGGGGAGCATCAGGTTGACGTTCGATTCACATGATTCACATCAGGTCTCAACTTAGTTAAAGAACAATATTTAGTCCATGGGATCGGAACCGGGATAATCCACGAGCAGGAAAACCGCGAACCCTGGAGTGGGAGTACGAATGATCATCAAATCATCCAACATATGGAAAATTGTTTCTAATCAAACAAAAGTCCAGGAATATGAAGGAACTTTCAATGATAAACATACGCGCCAAACCCAACAATTTTGAGAGTCATGAGACATGTCACTCAATGAGGGACATGTTGCAGACTCTTTTGGGGTAACTGGTGTTGGCCTCAGAATGAGGGGTGCCCGGGCTACACGAAAGAGAAAGCTCTTTTGGTGGATTTACCGTGAAGGATTGTGCGATTCATATCAAACACGAACCAAACAACATAATATACCAAAAAAGGTGCTACAAAGTACAACATGACAACACATGATACAATATAATATAGCAACATACATATTATATATATAATTACCCACATATTTTTAGTACGTACACATAGCCACTGTGTTGAAAGTAGCCGCGTCTTGTTGAGAACTCCACCAGGAAAACAACACACATCATTTGGAACATTGCCCTATAGAGCTTGGACCAAAATGACACCAAACATCTTGTTCCCAGCATGCTTTTTGAACTCTGCTTGCCAAACCATCTCCCTCACCCGACTCCTCAGCTTGTGCCCAGGCCGCAAGACTGGGCAAGGGCCTCAAGAGTGGCCGATTCTTTCGGGCGTCCGTCTTTCGGTGTGACTTGAACAGGTGGTTTTTTGGACCTACTGATGTCACGTTGTCTGACAGGCGTTTTGGCCCAACAAAAACACTGTTGACGGTTGTTGTGTTTGTCATCGAACAATCCAGGAAACGAAATTCCGGTGATGAACATTAGTCTGGTTGGCGAAAGCAACAAATGGGCTGCATTGGCGGCCGATCAGTCGACTTATCCCCAGTCCCACCAGTGGATCCAAAGCCTCTGACCTGGATCTGCATTTTGATAAACTTGCCAAACCCATCTTTCCAGTCATCGAAGCCCCCAATGGCCCCAATGGCGGTTGTTCATACTTTTCTGTCAGGAAGTTCTTCTATCTGTCAATGGGTCACTGTAAGCTGTAGAAGCAACACATGTCATGGCTCCTGCACAAGCCATGGTGTTTACAAACAAGCCTGTAGTTCTTTGCAGGTCAGACAGTCTCCGGGCCCCGATGAGAGTATATCAAGACTCTTGGCTCAATTCCAACATATATCTAACACATATAATGTTTTACATAGATATCCGTTCATATCGCTGTCTTTTGGATTTGAGCAAGGAAGCTTTGTAGGACCCAAGTACAATCACAAAGCATTGGGGCCCCCCATAGGCTGTCCCGGCTCAACCCATTTGTCTAGCGAGTCTTGCAATTGCAATCTGCATGTGGTGAACACATGGCATCTCTGAAACCAAGTGCTTCTGAGGTTGTGAAACCAAGTCTTTCCTTTTCCTTGCCAACGAAAATAACACGACAATCCACCCGTCCTTTCAGGGGGGAAACCACCCGTCCTTTCAGGGGGAACTCCTCCGAGGTACTCTCGGGTGGCATCCTGAGAAGGTCGCGTCTTCTCCACGCGGTCGATACGCACAGGGTAAACCGAGGAGATGGGCTCCTGATGGCGGGCTCCCACGAGGTCCACTAAAACGCCACACGATAAATACACCAAGGAAAAAGACTGTGTCATGATTCCTTCTATCACACGTTGAAGTTTGAGTATGGCTTAGCCAGTTCTAAGATAGTCTATCTTCACAACCTTTCTGAGACAACAATGTAAGGTATTCACATGTATTCGGTATTCAGGACCTTTAGTTTAATGTGATACGAGGCTGGTAAATCAGGGAACCACTGCTGGGAACGAAACTGATCATTTGGCTTTGCTACAAGCTGAACTTTATAATGGTGAATCTGGGGTGAATCTGAAAAGGTCGGCCATTGGCCCACTTGTCCTTGAAAATCAAGCTCTTATCTTGCCCTTCCTCAGATAAACACTGATGTCACTGAAAAGTAACCTTTCACATCCTTTCCCAACAATGCTTGAGGAGGCTTTGAGGGATCCACGGACGTCCTTAGGACTGTATCTAGATCTCCAACCAAAATTCCACTCCCTGATTGCTTCTCTGGCTCCTTCCTTCCTTCCTCCACCCTCCTTCCTTCCAAAAAAAGCCACTAGAACTCCCCTCCAACAAAGGCTCAGCATGCGTTTTGCGTTGTTTAGTTCAACATCCTTTACTGGGAAAAGTAACATGGAACCTGAAAATGGACCAGACTGGAAGATGATTTTCCTCTACAACCCAGTGGTTTTCAGGTTCCATGCTAAATTTTCCAGTGTGTAGCTTGTGTTTCCTGCGCAGTTTTCCAGCCTTCACCGACACAAAAAGGAAGGGCGTCCTGAGTTCCATCCGAGGAATCTCCCATGGGATCTCCATCCCTGGCCGCTCCTTGGTCCCGCTATAGCTGTCCGGGAGACGCACCTGGCCAGCGCTGGCCACTCAGTGGGTCGGGAAGTTCAGCATAAAACCACCTGGTTTTGAAAGGTCCAGGTCTGCCTGCAAAGGGTTTGGGACATTCAGAGGCGTGGGATATCTGAAACACATCAAAGCAGTCGAGTCTAATCTAAGGGGGTAGAATTAAGACTTGTTTTTAATCCTACTATGGAGCCTGAACAACGTTATTAAAGGAGTTTCCGGACATTTCCGGACAAACCAATGGGGAACGAGGGGTCTAGTCTGCGGAGTAGCTTTTGGTGCAACGAGTGGTACTGGTCTGACTCTTGACACTGCGACTGTGACGATAGACCTCTTGGTGTTTTTTATATAATGGAAAAGTGGATAGACCAAGGGGGGCTGGCCCTACTCATGTGTTGCTTTCTTCTTGCTACTAGTTGCAAGGTGCATCGCTACTGGTAACAAGGGCATTACTACTAGTAGCAAGAAGCTAGTAGTAGCCAATTATTTGCTTTCATCCTTCTCGCTTTCAAAAGTCGCTCTTCCGCTCTTCCACTCTACGTATCGCTCGATGTGCAAACGGTGACCAACTGCTGCATCCCAACACAACTGCTGGTTGACCATAGGCCGTTTGGATCCATGTGGACCATGTGGCCATTTGGCTGGCAACACCGGGACACCCTGGTGGACCACCGAAAAAGGAGCAGAATAGACTACCAGAAAGGTCGACTGGACAGAGTGAAAGGCCATGTGCCATGGGTTCACACTTTGCAAGCAAGACCTCCCACATCTCACCATATTATATGAAAGAGAAACAATCAGCTGGCTGGCGCTGGAGCCACCGCTTGTTCTGTTCGCTTGTTCGCTGGCTTGCTGGCTGCGCCTTCATGGGGGACATGTCCCGCCAGTCAGAGAGACTACCTCGGGATGGACGTGTTGGAGCTGATCTGGCATCCGCGGACATCCGGGCGTTCTCTAGAACGCCTAGTCAGTTGCCCCAAAGCATTTGTCAGGAACGTCAGGGTAAGCCTCAACAGTCAACCCCTCACTGCATCAACTCTGTACCAGGAGCTCGCCCAAACAATTCGTTGATTTGGGATGAATTGGATATATTGGTGTGAACGATTGTGGGTACAATAGCAAGGAATCAATGAAGCATCGTTGGGTGGCAAAAGAACCGTGCCACAATCCAAACATTTGACGTGGTTGCCAGTAAGTGCGGATGAACAAAACTACCTAGACCATCCAATGCGGGTTCAATGGAGATCCCTTAGGTCATGTGTAGAGTAGTCCGTTGGACACCCAAAGAGAGATGGTCCTTGTCACACCCCATCGTTCGCTCCATTTTGCGCCTGGCCATCCTGACCCTCCTCCACTCCTCTCCTCCAAAGCCCGCAATAGAGACCGTTGATGAACAAAACACCCCACCATATTGAGAGATTTTACAAAATCGGGGGATTGGTTGTATCAATCAACAGTCTAGTGTACCCTCCCTCCCACAATCCTGGAAGTGAATGGCATGGCCCCTGGAAAAACGATGTTAATACCCAACAGGGGGGTTGTCCACTGTTTCAAACAGGAGGGTCAAACATGAGACTCCTGGACACAGGGGCATGGACTCCAATTCACCTCACCAATTCTGCGGACCCACCGGTGACCCGTGGGCGTCTCAGTACCACGGCGCTGCCCGTGGGCGTCTCCTCGACCAAGCGCAACTCGGAGGCCGTGGAGGGCGAAGACCTGCGGTGGATGCGGTTCCTGCGGTTGCACGTGGGTGTGAATGCTCCAGAACGTCAATGCAAGTTCAGAGTGTGCATTCTTGCAGCTCTCGTATATCCAACACATGGTGAGCACCAGGAAACAATGTCGAACTGACGCTGGACACAGTGCTGGAAGGACAACCTACGGAGCAATAAACCGGAAAACATGTGTGTGTGTGTGTTTGGGCGGGTAGGGTATCCGTGCAATTGCATGCAATTGCTTCGTTTGAAGGTGCATTGAGCTTCATGATCCTTTCACAAGAAAACTACATGGAACCGAATCCCGACTTCGGGATCTCCAAAAGGTGGGTTTTACACAGGTCCTTCTGGGTATTCTAAACACATCAAACACAACGACAAACGTTTAACTGGCAATGGAGGTCCTCTGATGGTCCTTTCAGTTGGCAGCTCTTTGTGTTCCCAACTTCCCAAACTTCCCGGAATGAGTGAAGTGATATCGGAGAGGACTATGCCTATGCTGAGATCGAGGGATTCATCAAACCGAGATCGACGGTTCAACCGAATGGGTACGGTCCAACGGTCTGCCAGGGTTAGTAAGGGAGATAAGGACATTCACATGCACATGCAATATTCAGGGAGATAGGGAACCTTAAGTCGGTCTTCAGGATCAAATCACTTGCAGCTCTGTCATCCCCTTGGAGCCCTGTCTCAATCCAAGCTGCCCTGTCTCTTCAACCTTCAGCTTGCTGCTGTACGGTGCGAACTTTCCTGGGATGCGGGCCACGGATACAATGCGTCCAGCCATGTGATAGCGCAGTGTGACGTTTAACAGGTATTGAACACAATCAGCTAACAAGCAAAGCAGTAGGTAGAGATAGCAGTAGTAGATTGACTTCAAGAGTCTTCACTGTTCTCATCCTTTCATTGCACGGAATCAGCTCCTAGTGGGAAACACGTGAACACCTGGTAACCCATATCTCCAGGAGATCCAAATGTTGTGCATCCTCCTTGGAAACTGGGACGATGAGTTGCCCTGCCACCAAGCTAATGAAATACTTGCATTGACATCCGGGTCTTGTAAACAGGATCTCAACAATCTCAACATCGACACCTTTGATCAACATTATATAACCGAAATGAACTGAACTAATGAGTCCATTGTGAACTATATATATATAGGGCTGTGTCTTGAAATGTTCAATCAGTTTGGACTCGATCACAGTCTACAGTACAAAAGAAGCCCCAGAGTTTGAACAAACAAATCTATCGGGTAGGCAAAAGGGAGTAGGCAGGGGGCAAGCTATCTTTCAGTGATTTTTCAGCTTCAAGCTGCCCAGCACAGCGCACAAGCCAGCCTGCCCAATCTGAAACCAGATACCAAAAGTTCACCTGTTCATTTAGTCTTTTTGAGTCTCACGCCACCACCCCAACATCCCGGAACACCCACAAAGATTCACCGCGCACTCCGTGTTTGTTAATTTCGCCGACGAGGTGGAAAGAACAAGAGTCCAATGTGCGTCAACAAGCAGGGCGGATATCCCAGCTCCTCATCCTCGGCCTTGGGCATCATCAGCTCCTCAATCTGCTGTTTGGGCGGTTTTCTTTGCCGTGTCTGTTTCTCAGCAGCGAGTAGTCGACCAATTCCCGGCGCGGAAAGCAGCAGCCGGAATATTGATCCCAGCAGCCAGAGAACTAAGCGGACTGTGTGGGGGAAAGGTTTGAGGTGAAGACACACGTGATGCCAGGGTCAACTGGCGAAGAGTTGTTTGTTTCAGTCCGCACATGACATGAACCGCCTAGTAGTCTGACCTACTTGATTTACTCGTGCCTATCCTAATCAACCCAGTCAATATTCTCCATGTCTCTTCCTCCTTCCCAACCAACATCAGGACTCCTCTCTAGTCTCTCTACACCAAAGAAAAACTGGAACACCGTGACACAACATCACATGTCAAAAGCCTCTTGGCATCTTGGACGAGCTGTGCTTATGTTATGTTGATCAGCTCAGCACCAACCACATGTCTTTGGCACAAAAATGATGTAGCAATGAACCAAACGACTCAATAGGTAACAATAGTTTTATCAATAGGTTCACCAATCCCTCCGAGATTCATGAAGCAAGTCCGACCCAATGTGGCTCTCCATCTCCATACCTCAGAGTTGCACTGCCGTGCGAGCGGTATTTGGCATGTGCATGCATGTAGTTTTTGCTCTTCTGAGCAAAGACTATATGCATTAAAGTCCACAGGATTCCTGGCACAAATCTGTACTACTTGTGAAATCTTGTGATAGCTATTCGCACTGAAGTGGGACTGCCACTATATAACCCCTTCAGGTTCCTGACTAGGTATCACCGTCACCAAAGGGCCTCACCCAAACATACAATCTCTCTCTCTCTCTCACTCCTTTCCTCAAGGTGTGTCTCACAAACATCCCTTTTCCAAAACAAAGCCGACAACCTCAAGCCACCTCCCAGATCAACAAACAAACCAAGAACATATTGTCAAAAGAGTATTGTATACTCTAGCCACAGTCAAAGCACCGATTGAGGGCCAAAAAAACAAATGGGTACACCCGCACAAAGGACGAGACAAACACTCCACGTTATCCATTGGTTTGGTGTATTGTCTTCGGTCTTCGTCTAGATGTTGATTTGGTGCGGGCCCGTCCGGCCCTGTGCCACCATCGGAGCCATGTACATATATATATATATATATTGCCCGTGACCCTGCCTCCTTACTCAATTAAGTAGGCACCTACTTAATTTATGTAAGCTACTAGCGAGTGCCCAATGCCCAACAGTCAATTCAAAACATGTTGGAAGGCACTGTTGTGAGCATGTGCGTTCGGCAAAATTGATTTAAAGTGTATCTTCAGGTTGCAATATGATACAATGTGTATATCTATTTATACAGTAGAATATATATATATATATATTTAATACACATGTCAACGCTGATAAATACCATTTTTTTGTCGTCCCAAATAGCAAGGTTGTTCAATCAAGATTGAACCTGGACATCAAGGGGCAGGTGGTCTCTTTAGCTGTTGACATGATTGTGAGCTTGAATTTCCCGAATGAAATGGCTATTGAGTAGTGAGCAGAAGTCAAGCGCTCACAACAGGTCTTGGTGGACACCATGTTATAACATTTTATAACTGGAATTGTAGAAACTGAAAAATACACACTTGGGATTCTTTGTAAACTAGAATGTATCAGGAACTACATTCCATGATTGCCCAAACCCTCCCCACTCAGTGGCTGCAACCAGAGTGCTTTCAGTGACAGCGTCGATGGCAAGTGCCATGTTTGTATCGAATCGTCACGTCGCGCAACTTTCAGGTTTTGCCAAGTATGCCAAATGCTGCGGGAAATGCACGGTACCTATTTGAGAGTGGTCTTCGCCAAATTGAAGAGAGTTGGGTGTCACAGAAAAAAAACACTGAAGGCACTGCCAAGTGGATGTCAGGAATTTGATTTTCCTTGTGGTTTCAGTGTCTTCCGACGGGTCGCGATTCCCCCCTTCTCAACACCCTCAGGCCTCAGCCCTACTAGACTGGGACGACTGGGAGTGATCTCAACATGGAATTCATTTGAGAAGCATCCAACAGGAAATCCCAACATGGATATGTAGCTGCTTCAATTACAAATCCTGTTCAATGTTATTAAAACCGTTCTCCAGAATCAACTGTTGAAGGGCCCGTCCCCACAAATGTCATGCCTGGTTCCGTGGCAAGTTTGAGCATACTTCAAATGCTCTGAGCTTCGGCCTTCTCAGAGGGAGATCTTCCCAATATCCCTTGGAAGAAGAGAAACATAGACCAAAACTCATTGGGCCAGGGGCCTGCTTGTTGAAAATACCAACCCACCTGGGTTTCCCCAGTCCAAAGCAGAAACAAATGGTTATTCCAGTATTAGTATGGCAATTGAGATCCTTTACATAGGAAATGGCTGTTTGGGGAAAACACGTGTATGACACACACATATATATATAATATATACATATTAATTAGTATGTATTTGTTTACGGTTGTCCATTCTAGACATCCATCCAGGCATTCAAAAGACATGGTCTCAACCAGCAATGACCGTCACTGTGAGGCCGGGTCTGAAGCAATTTGACTCGACATGCCGAAAGAGATGAACCTGTCAGAAATCACCTTGCACCAAGTGGATCAAACTAGAGTAGTACCAGTAACTCAGTGTCTCAAAAGCTTTCAGAATCCACTAGGTCACCACTGGAACTGCAATATACAAATGAACCAGCATTAGACATCCTTGGGATGCTTTAGGTCGTATGCCCCCCCGAAACTGTGGAGACCTGCCAAATCCAGACCACAGGTCGGAAACATGTTCCCACGGCCAAATGGTGCTTCTCCAGCTGGGCCGTCCTTCGTTTCATCGTCCTTCTCCCGATCGGAAGAAACTCCAGAGGTCGGATGAAAACACGGACGATTCCGACCTTCGGTTTCGGTCGGGCACCCGCGCCGCGCGTTGATGCGGGTGCGTCCTGGGGTGGATCAAGCGGTGGGAGAGAACTGACCACACCTCCGTCTGCGCGTCATACAGCTCCACCTGCAGGCTTTCTCTGAGAGGTGGAAGAGGATGGAAGAGGTGTCTGTTTACTTGGACAAAGAAAGCAACATCCGTCAACTATAATTATAGAAGTCAACCCTCCGACCTTTACCATCTTGGATTTGAGCCTTTGAGTACATTCACAATTTACCATGGGCTGAGGACTTCAGCTGCCTACTCCAGGTAATACCACCTACACTCTGACTGACTCACTATGGCAAGTGGAATGTGGGCCATTCGAAGACCATTTTCCCTTACGGTCCCAGATGGCCTTTCCATGTTTTCTACACTCCCAAGTTCAGATGGATGTTACACTTCCATGTTCTCTACACCCCCAGGTGGGCGGACCCACTTCCCCGTGATGACTTCGGGCAGACCATCGTCTGCTTGCTGCCCCCCGTCAGACTATCTCTCTCCGAGCCACGGTGGGCTGCGTCTCGGCGCGGCCGAAGACGTCATCGCAGCCGCCGATGGCGGCCAGGTGGCTGGAATCTGCGCTTCCCGGAACGAAGCATTCGAATCTTTCACGGAACTGAGGGAATCTGGAAGAATGCGAAGTGTTCACTCCAAGCATACCTAGTACTTCCTGTCTGGGTGCCCTGAAGTAGGAGACCTATTTACGTAGGGTAGGGTAGTACATTGGACACCCATTGGATGGTCCTGGCATATTCAATATAATCGAAGTGAAATTGATTCAACTATTTCGGCCATATTCAACCGTGAAGGGAATGGATGGGTCCCAGAATGGTCAGTCATCGGAGGATGCCGATGATTTGGGTTCCTTCACTCCACATGACGCGATAGTTGTGTTTTCTGTTTTATATTGTTTTATTGTGTCTGATGCCTGTCTGACTTTGTAAATATGTAGGAGGACCTGCTCCCAGCATCTTGAAGTATCCTAAATTTTGATCACTTTAGGGATCTGGCTTGTTTTGGAAGGAACAATTACTCCTTCTGGAATTGTCAGTTTTCTTTCAGGGAGGGACAAACAAAACATCACCGTTGGCTTCTGTTGGCTATCAAAGGTGTATCGTATAGAATCGTGTGGGGTTCAACATAAGCCTTAAAAAGAACGATTCTAAAGCCCCCCTAAAGCACTCCAAAACATACATCGGACACCCTCAGCCGAACGATTCTTTTTGCGGGGTCTATACCACTGGAGCAGGATGTCGAGTGGCACTGGAGGACAGATTTGGGGAGCCATTTGACCCACTTGGACCTATCTTCTTGAGATTAGACTCGGGACTCCTGCTCCTTCCTCCACTGGACGGCTTCAACAGAAATCACAACAATACACATAATCGGAACACAAAGTGCTTTTCGACGTGAATCTCTTGCCTACGACTCATCATCGATTTGTATACAGCTTGTATCAAAAGGATCAAATTATATATGATTATACTACTGATGATATGTCAAAGGGCTGATTTTCCTCATGGCAGCTAAGTTTGCAGCAATATCAACCCCATGACTCTTACGCGTTGCTTTATATCCCCATAGCTCAGTCGTGTTTCCCTAGTTAGACACCCCTGGCACCCACCCCAACCAGCTCCACCGAAACGGAGTGCCCTTTCTGCCTAGAGCGACCACGCGGGTGCCCGATCGAGCAATCTGTAGAGGCCCCGTCGGCGTCCACCTATGTCCAGCGGTGGAAAAAAACCGCTGGGGGCCCAGCATGTGAGCTCTCTACAATCACTAAGCTGCATATCTACGGACTCTCATGTAATTAAGTGGAAGTGGATGGCATGAAAGGTCTGCATGAATGCATATGGGGGAAAAAATAACCTAAAAAAACATGAAAAAGGATGAAAAGGGTCTGACCCCGGAAATGCAAAGCCCAAACCTGAAGTAATCATGAATGTGAATGGGATGGCCCCGAGTTGGGATGACCCTTTCTGAATACTAAGTTGACGACTAAGTAATTTGAGGTCCGAACGTACAGGTGGAAACCCGTGAAAACTATTTCAGGATATTGTAGGCTTGCAAAATGGACTCTCCACAACCCAATGATGAAAAACGTATACAAATTATATAACTTCGTAAAATCATCTTTGCCAGTATCACCTTTCTTGACATGACTGTCATATGTTCTGACAATTTTCACTATCATTTGGAGTTGTTCATGGCGTTCTTCATCCACTTCCACTGGCAATTGGTTGCACTTGAGCTATGTTCGAAAAAGAAAAACAGAAAATACTTTTTGATTTGCCCAAGGTCATCAAATCCAAGTGGATCTGGATGCACTGCAAAGGATACTGACTTCTGAGGTTTGTGTGGTTCTCTGGTCTTGGAGAGGATGAGATCAAGAGATTGCAATAATTTGGGGACCCCTTTGGGGGTCTTCACCTACCACTTGGATCAACTTACAGTGCTTCAACTATTAAAGGGAAACCAAAATGGACGTCAGGGTCAAGGTTTTTGGGCCAGTCAATCGCAAAGGAAAAGGACAAATTATCGTGACGCAAATTTGCTGAATAACTCCTGTCTTCACTGTTGCTGATTGAAGCTTCTCCTATCTTGACTGTTGTTCAATATCATATAACTCCTGCTATCTTGACTGTTGCTGAAACAACTTCTTCCTTTCTTGACTGCTGCTGGATCAAACCCCTCCTATGTTGGCCGTTGCTGAATCAACCTCCTTCTATCTTCACCGTTGCTGAAAAAACTCCTCCTATCGTGACTGTGCTGAACCAAACTCCTCCTGCTTTGACTTTTGCTGAATCAAGCTCCTCCTATCTTGACCATGCTGAACACAACTCCTCCTATCTTGACTGTTGATGAATCAAACTTCTCTTATCTGGACCTTTGCTGAATAAAACTACCCTATCTTGACTGTTGCTGAATCAAACTCCTACCAAGATGCTTCAGTGCAGTAAAAAAATAAAAACTGCCCCACGAAGATAAAAACACACCTGGTCATTTGGCTTCGGACGGTCAGTGGGCCAGGGACCTCGCAAAGTTAACATCACCGTGGTTTCTATCAATCTTCCTTTTTTTTTCAGATACGATCGGTATACCTATTATGGGAGGAGGGACCCAATTCAAAACTATTGGACACCACCCAGCACTGAGCACCTGTTCTGGTCTGGATCGTAGATCTCACAGTGCCGCAAGGTCACCATGAAGGCCTGGCGCCATGAGTGGCGCCACACGTGGTCCGGGTTCGCTGGGGGAGTTTTGTTTCGACCAAAGTTCGACGTTTGGAAAGATGAAATCGGGATGGGTCAAAACCTGGAGGTCCAAACCCTGGTAGGTTGACGGTCAACCAAGGTCTCCTGGCTTTGACCCACAACCAAATGACCAGGAGTCCCAAAAGTAGTCGAGAATACAGAACGGTAAGTCAATACACGAGACGATCGCTCGTGGTATAGCTCTCCCTTCCGTTCCGAAAACAGCTCACATCTCATTCACGGTGGGTCTGGCCCATATTGGATGTATTGCGCGTCGCAAGACATGTCAACGGCACCAAGCGAGATTCTATCAGCCTAGGCTGCTAGCCTTTGAGGACCATTAAAAGGGATGATATGATATATCAGAGGATAGTTGTTGGAATCCTAAGACCATACGGAACAACCCCTGGGCCTTTGTATTCTCGTGTCTCTTTCCGCATGGCCCAGCTTTTTCCCACTCTCACAATACTTATATAGCTATGCAGCTGTGTCAATGATCATCTTCGCATGTTCACATGCCAGAAAATGACTACGCAGCAGATTTGTTTGATGTGATCGAGGAAAACCTCTGCCTCACACATGTATCCTCTGCCTCAGAGTGGCCTAGCCCTGGCCACTTTTGGTGACCCCGGGCATAGTTTCTAAAGCTTCAGTTTCAAGGAGGGTTTGGAACAGCTTAGTAACTTAGCAAATGTATACAGAGGTGAACAGATTGTACCAATCCTGACACTCCGCACAACTCTTGGCAAAAAGTCAAGCTGCTTCAACTACGTCTGATCAACGACTAGAAACAGTGTTTCACATGTAGCAGTTCCCGGCAAAGCTGGAAATCTCTAAACAATACGGATTTCAAAAACACAGTTGAATAACCATATTCAACATGCCATTGCACCCAAATCTGCTGACATCCCTCTTGTTCTTGTCAAACCCTGGACGGCACGTTCCCCCCTGCCAGACCTCAGCGGCCTGTGCTTCCAGCTGCAAGGAACAGCCACCCACCACATAGACCTCCAAGGTCCAAAGGACGACCACGGAGGGTGTCGATCGGTCAGAGGCCGCCAAAGGAGGCCTGGTGTTGTTCGAACTCCTGTGTGTTTGGGCTGATTTTTTGTGTTACAACCTCGCGGTGGCCGATGGGCATCGGCTTACCCTACTCAACATGTTTATTGAAGATCTCATCAAATTTGTGCAGTCCTGCCATAGCTATACAGTAACCGTATAGTCAAACCCAAGCGATCCGGCTGCAGTGACTGCCCAGCTATGTCTGCCTTACCCTGCAATGAGGCACAGCCATGTCCCCATCGCGCACGTGTCAAAGGAGCAGCACCGTCCTGCTAGGAGTGGCAGGGATTGACGTCCCATCCAACTGGGCTGTGGTGAAAACTTCTCTTGGTTGGTTCACAGGTATGGATGCAGCCCCCGGATTTTAGGCAGTCTCCACAAAGCCAAGTGCTCAAGCTTTACAGCTTCTCCACACTAAAATACTGAGCCCGAGCTTTGGATACAGTAGTTGAAATCGTGTTTATCGTGTCTGTTTGGTCCAAGATTTGGAGAACACTGAATCGAAAAAGGAATTGCCCCAGCCTCTACTCATCCAAGTGCCTTCTATAAATTCCAGAACCAACCGACCTCTCGAAATCTGCCATCTCGCTAGGAAGACAATTCTCAACCTCTACTCATCCAAATATCATGGTGAGCTCAACTTAGGGAGCATGTGCCATACCTTTCATGTAGGTCTCTCTACTTCACTGTGGCTCTACTCTTGGAGGTCGAAAAAGAACTTGATTCGAGCAATGACAACCATTCCATACCATTCCTAAAAGGAATGAGGAAAATGTTGGAGCTCGAGCTCCATCGTTGTTCAGGGTTTATGACATGGGGTATGGAACCATTGGTATCTGTTGATAGGTAGGTAGGTATGTATTGGTTGGTTGGTTGGTTGGATGGCTGGCTGGTTGATTGGTTGGTAGTCGGTTGGATGGATTCTAGCAATCCCCGACATAGCCCGACCAGCCAGGAACCAGGAGCTCCCGAAACCATAGAATAAAAGTAAGGCAGTTTCCATGATCCATAAATATTCTATGTATCCAAAGCCCAGGGCAAACCAGGTGTTTGATGGTTTCGGGAGACAAACGGGTAGACGACCAAGTCGACCTTCGTGGCTTCATTGGATTTGCGTTTCAGGCAACTAGGCATTGAGAAAACACATTGCCAACACGCCAACACTGGACCCCTGTTCATCTTATATTCAAAAAACGTAGTAATAACTAATAACGCTACATTCTACATTTCTTTACAACTCTCTCTGTGGACTGCGGTGTTGGTTGCCACAAAGGTTGCGAGTGTAAAAAGAAAACGCCGGGTACATGAGCCAGTCTGACAATGTGCCTCAATCCAAGAGCCAGTCTGAGGATCGTAGAGGTCGCAACTGGACAAAAGGCCCTGCGCGATGCCCTGCTCCGTGTACCTGTGACCACGACCCAGCGGGAGCAGCATCAGGCGCCAAAAGACTGGGTGAGTACACTTGTTCCTACTAGCTTCTTGCTACTACTAGTAAGGCACTTGTTA